AACCACAGCTGGAAGAAGAAAGGCTACTAAGGCATTAATCCCCAGTTCATGAGCTCTGACAGGAGGAAGAGAGGGAACCATTCCTGGACAGCATGGGCATTATATATCCCCAGTTATTTTGAGCACAGAGGGAGATTTCCCCAGCAAAACTGGACGACCAGTCTGGTGAGATCCCACCTAACCTCCTTACTTTGGGTTGTCTGTCTCCGTCATTACTGAGGTGTGTGGTGACCTCTTCTGGTGAATGCCTCAAAGTTCGGTTAGAATAAGTTCAGGTTTAAAAAACTCAAACGAAACACACACAAACCAACCAAGCAAACAAATCCACCCCAGCAGATTAGAAACTTGAGAATTTTGGATAAAATGACCACTTCAGTCTGACTCATGAACAAACTACAGACAGTACCAGAAGAGGATGAGTGGCTCTATCACAAGCTTTAGCCTCTAATAACTATGTAAGAATGTGTGAGTGGTTCAGTCTAGGGAAGGCACGTGGTGTGTGTGTGATATATGAATGAGTATAAATGATGTCTGTGTGGACAGCAGACTGTCAGGTGTTTTGGTGGGTGGCCAAGTGTAGATCCACCACTAGATGCGTTGGTCTGGACTCATCATGGATTTTGCAGAATATCTCTTTCTGTAAGAAGAGGTGGCATTGAGAAGGACGTTTCTGAAGTCCTTTTGGCTGGGGTAACATTTGCCAGGTTTTTCTCTGCAACCTTGTGCATCCTGGAATATCTCTGGGCAGTGTCAACAGTGCCCATTGATTTAGAAGGTCTGCTAGCCAAGAAGCCAAATAAAGGGACAAGAGTTCACACTATCCCATTGTGCTATTTATTGCTGCGTGCCATTTGTCACTATTGAGCAAGCAGAATGAGAAGCCATTTCTAGAAATGGCTAAGCAGCTACAGGAATGAAATGGCACCTGTCCTAAAAGTTGCCTGGGTTGTTTACTTCCCCTCTCCCTTTCCTGAATGACTGGTGATGAACCCAAGAGTAACTTGACTAATTAAAAATGTTGCCGTTCCATAAAGCCACTCCTCCACTAACAGTCTGTAGAAGTTGCTCAGCCTGTAAGAGAGTGGCACAGTGCATAACGTGAATTTTGCATTCCCAGGGCAGGATCCCAATTCCCTACTAGTTTTGACACATCTAAGACCTGTGGACTTTCCTTGATTGGAGACAGGTAAAAGGAGACAGCTGGATAGGTTTGGCCCTGCTCTTTGAGAAAAGGGAGGAATAACTAGGGAAACTGTCCACATTTCTGTTTATCAGAGAACTTGTGTGTGCATTATTCTTCCTTCTGTTTCATTTACAGTCCTCTTCACCAATGCTTCTCAACAGTTCAGGCACAACTGGATACGTACATGTGCCAGTGCTTGCTCACTAAGATTAGAAAGCAAGTGCTTCATGTCACAGTGTGGCAGCAATTAGTTGTGCTAGCAAGACTGTCCTGGAGGTCCGCAGTGGAGCGGGAAGAGAGCTCCTTGCTGCTTTGAGTGGGTGAGCAACAGTGAGAGGAATGCAGCTTCATGCAGCTCTTAGCTAAGCTACTCTTTATTAGTAACTCACTGTAGCTATGGTGATTCTTATCGCCCACTGTTCTTGATTTGACAACCCTTCTTTGTTTTCCCAGAAAATACTCAGTGTTCGCCAAGCCTCTGGAAATAGCTACATCCTTATGTGGTGGAGGACGGTGTGGCCACAGGCCAGAGGGGCAGGATATTTTAGCTGTTCCTTGTCAGCGCAGTGAGATGGGCGAGCACCATTTCAAAAACTAACACTTCTAAAGCCATGATAAGGTGCTCAGGCTACAGGGCTGGAGCCTGTGTTCATGCTTGAGATAAACTCCACTGTCAGCGCCACATTCACACCTCCCCTGTCACATTAGGCACCCCATGGTCCTGCCTTTCCCACTAGTCAGTTGCTACAAAGCCGCAGCAGGGGGGTATCAGGCCCTGTGACTTCGTCTGCAGAGTCCCCAGGGCTACATTGCTCCTGTGTCTTTGTTGTGACATTGAGGTGGCTAAAGGAAAAAATGTGTGTTGGAATAGATTTGTTACCTCTTCACCTTTCTTCTTCTTCCTTGAACCTTCATTGGACCCCGACACTCTCCTTTGGGAGGTACTATCTAGCTCTTACTGTTTTGACAAAAAAGAAATGTGCAGACTAGCTCTATGTCAGGGCTGCTTCCTCATGTGAATAGAAACATGAAATGTGCTGCCTGAAATGACAGGGATGGGGAGAAGGCAGCAACTTTTTAAATCCCAGTGTTAAGCCTGTCTGTGGATACCGAGGAAAGTAATAATTTCACTCCAAGTTACTTATAATCCGTCTCTGTAAAAAACAAAATATTTTGAGTCTAGTGTTTAATGGCTATGGATCATACAGTTATTCAGGGATTAGAGGATTTCATGTAATTATTTTACAGAATCAAATGACACTTGTGTAATGCAGCTGAATGCTATTAGAAAGCTCAAAACATTTGCAACTGTGCCAATATGTGAAATCATTCTATTCAGGACTATTTGGGTTCAAGGGTTTCCTCCTACGTACATGGTGTCAGCTTCAGTTCACAAAAGAGTCCTTCTTGTAAAGAAAAGTAGTGTCACAACCACACTTCCAAAGGGCTTGTATGGACGAGGTTTTGTTGCCAAACTGAGGACGCAGAACTTAAGTCCTCTGTTCACTAAGTGATCAGACAGTTAAGGTTATTTCTTAAACTTATATAACTGTCAACCAGATTGAGAATTCATGACGCTGGACCCTGCTGATCAATTGGACAGATACAGCTTCAGTTTTCTCTCTGTATAGGTGTTTCAGTCCAGACTTTAAAGGACTTTCAACTTTTATGGGGCTAAATTCTTTATCCTTATAGATGATAAAGCTCTATTGTTGGACTAGAGAGGACTGCTGATTGTGCTAGAAAGCTACAGAAGATGCTGTACCCACTTTCCTGTTAGTGATTTGTCTCCATGTCCTATTAAAAAAGGGCCCTAGGTGACATTTGTAAGTCTGAGCTTTAACACCCTGGTTAGGGTACTCCAGTGCTTTTAGTGCTTCAGTGCTTTCTGAAACACAGGAGAACCCACCAAAGGGTCTTCAGCTGAGCACTGAAAACCCATCTTTGAAAAATATGCCCTCCTGAGAGCCCTTCTTAATGTCAGGGGTCATGTCCCTAACAGCAGGTATATCAGTTTATTGTATTTATTTGCATCTAATTACATCCACGTTATGAAAACTTGTGAACAGTTGTCTATGTTGTAAACCCTTAACTGTGTTAAATTAAAACCAGCATAAGTACAGCTCCTCATTGCACAGCTGATAGATGCCACAAATCCAGCAAACCAGAGGTAGAAAACGTTCTTAGCTTCCCTCCACACTGGAGATTCTTCACATAACCTCTGCATTGTTTGACCAAGAGGATTTGTTTTACCATGTCACCTCCCTGAGGATAACAGCACATTTTCTGCTGAGTGTTGAAGTGTGAAGACCATTGCAAGCGATGACATCATATCTCAGGCCAGAGCAGATCAGGAAATGACCGAGAAGGCCTGAAATATTGGCCCTGGGAAGAATGAATGGAGGAGAGAAGGGATATGACACAACAGCATTCTTTAGCCTAGATAGGTCAGATGCACCTGACAAGTGTAATGAGACCAGGAGATCTTTGACACTTTAACACATGATATTTTTGTGCACAGAGATGTTTATGAGAGGTAGAGGTGAACTAGGGTGCAAATTCAGTAGCTGACATGCTATTAAATCATAGCTGCCCTTAGACAATAAAGAGTAAAGGGGATACAGGCCTGAACTGCCTAATTGCTTCAAATCTAAACTTCCTTTAACAATATGAGGCTTTTGAAAAAAAATCTTGGTCCCAGTCTTCCCACAATGAAAACATTAATTCCCTCCAGACACAACAAAACCACCAATGAGGATTGGTACATGTAATAAGGGATATGGCTGGTTTGGGGGTTGAGAGGAGAGGAAGGTAGTAATGGGACAAAGTAAGCTATGCTTGCTAGAAAATTTAATGGTATCTGCAAAAAGAAATCATTATAAGCATTGGTTCATAAACTAAATAGTTTCAACTATTTTTGAACTGATGTAAACCAGAAGAGGATTTGATGGTTTAAAAAAAAAAAAAAAAAAAGTAAGGCAAACTGTTTTTTAAGGTCTTGCTTCATGTGTTACAAAGCTGAGGGCTTGTTTTGGTCCAAGGTTCCAACAGCCGTGGGGCTTAACACTGAAGTCAGAGTGAAGATGAATCTTCAGGCAGGGCCATGTCAGTCTCATATCGCCCATAGCACAGGAGGCCTTCATTAAAGTCCAAACAGACCTGATTTACAGACAGAACTTTTGTTGCCTTGGTGCTGGTATTGTAAATAATCTGTTCTTCAAATGGCTAGAGCGCATTTCTGTGTTGTTCTTTCTCCTTGTTTCCTAGTGTCCTCTCAAAACCTGACAATTTGGTTGCCCAAGACTTCACTGCTTTTGAGTCTTTTATTCTATAATTTTATGGGACATGGGATAAGCCAGTAATTAAAGTATTGCTTTGTGAATTGGAAATGTGCATCTCTTCTGTGATCTTGTCCATGGTCTAAGCAACTGTTTTTTCAGTGTACCCCCTGCATGATGTGTATGATCCTTCCCTGTTTTACACAGGTGATTTGAAACTAGGTTGTTGTCTGTGCAGCTTTGAAGGCATGGAGCCAGGAGAGAATAAGAGCTTTTGCAGATGCTCGGTAATTGCCTGATGACCAGAAAGCTTCTACTGGAGGAGAGGGGCTGCATTTAAAACTTCTATACCTCCTAACTGTAACACCGCACGGCTTTCCAGAGCTATTTTTTGCACATCCCTAATCATTATACTACTGTACTTTAAACCTCAAAACAGATCCCTACTTGTACAGGTCTGAGAGCTTGATTTGGTACCCCTTAACTTAGCTTCAAAGCAAGTACCTTCATTGAGACAACAAAATGTCCTGTCCTTCCAGGCTGAGATTCTCGGCCCAGTGCCCGCTGACTTGTTCCCTGATGATCCTGCCAGCTCGAGGCTGCTCAGCACAAGTGTTGGGGAGGCATGTGTGGAAGGCAGAAAGCTCAGAAAGCAGGAATTCCTGGAGCAGCAAGAGGAGAGGAGCATGACAGGAAGAAGGGGCTGCTATTTCGCTGAAGGGCCCATCACGAATGGTGCAAGAATAACAGTTCTCTGTCACGGCTCCAGATTCCCTTATCTGGGAGCGTCAAGCGGCGGGGCCTGTCGACACCTCTGCCTCGCGCCCTGCTCTGCACTCAGCCGCCTGCAGATACAGAGTGGCTTGAACAAGTTCCAGTGCTCGCTCTCGGAGCTTCCCAAGACCCATGGTTGCAGCAGGGCCCAGCGCCATCGGGCAGCCAGGTGACATCACTGCCAACAGCCATGGAGGCGCTTCCTGTGTCACATTCCTCACTGAAGAGCCTCTTGCCAAATCCTTGTCGTTCTGCACGGTCTTTTTAGGAACAGATGGGCTAATTTTAGCCTGACCGCCACAAACACCTTCCTGAAATAGAGTCTGACTCTCTCCTGTCTCATGCATGTTCCTGAGAGTTTAAAAACAAATCCCTAGTCTTTAGGGTCCACAGCTAAGGCCTCTGTCAGCCTAAATTTGGCAGTAGGAATTACTGAGCAGTGCACTGGGGAAACTGCTGTCAGTGTCAGGCCCGTACTGAGCTGGATGGAATGTTCCAACAAGGCAGAAGCTCAGGTGCTGGCATATCACAAAGTCATATGGTCCAATATGAAGTTGTTCTGTATTTCAAGGACTTTGCAATAGAAAGAAAACTTCTTGGCTAGCTGCAGCCAGGTATGACATCTACAAGTGTAGTGAATGGACTTAGTGTCCTCTGTGGTCTGCCTTGGACAATTGCTCTAATCATCATCCTTTCTTTCTGGGGCATGACTAGATAAGCACTGCCCTGGGAGTTAATAATCCTGCTTCTGGTCCTGTAGCAAAGTCAGTTCATACCTGTCTGTGCTCTACTTGAAGGATGTATGTAACACTGACCTGCTCTGAGAACAGCAAATGAAAGGCACTTAGAGAAGAATTAGAATCACTCAGATGAGGACAAGGAGCACAATCTCCACAAAATCACCAGGGTTTTTATGCTCCTTCCTTTTGCTGTTTCTATGAGCTTGAATCTGCAGGCTCTTGTGTTGAAGGATCAATGCAAGCCTGAGCTGCTGTTTCTAATTAGCAGAGTAAAAAGCTGTGTTGTTAAAGAGCTTTCTCTGGATAGGAAAGGAAAAAAGGTTTTCAGGCAGCTGTTGCTTTTATATCACTCTTTGGAGTGACCTCCCCATCCCTTATGTTCCTTTAGATCTGCTAATTAAGCAGTTCCTTGTACCTGCAGGTCAGTTGATCAGCTAATGGACTCCCCACAGCCTCTGATGCAGCATGTCCTGGAGGGTAAAGAGGAAAAGGCAAAAGGCCCTTGGAGATCCAACTGGGTCCTGGGCTGGCTTTGCCCATGGGGCTCTTCCTGAGCAGTACTGAAAGCAAGCACATGAAACAGAAAGAACAAAAGGCCTGGAGGTTGTTACCTGGTATTTGCCAGGGTCCCTGGGTATATGGCTTAGCCTCCACAGGATGGGAGACTATTAGCCAGCTGAGCTGCCCAGCTTGCCATCATTCATCTGAGACCTAAAAATACTGATGTCTCACATAAGGTGAGCGCAAAGTGGCTGGAGTTGTTGAGTACTCTAAAAGCCAAACCCTTGGCACCAGGCTGCAGCTGGGCATTAATGGATGAGAACAAAAGTGACAAGAGGGTTTCATTTGCTGACTGCCCCCCTTGGAGGTGGGAGTATGCCAGCATGTTAATTGAAGGACAGAAGGGACTTGAGGGACAGGACTTCTGCATTCTGGGTGAATGTAACTGAAACACCCCAACTATTGTACAGCCTAAAATAGCTTTTGCTCTGTTTTTCTAGTAGTATCATATAGGATTTTGGAAATGTCACTGGCAAGAATTTGGTCAAACTGATTAATTTACATGAATTGTTTTTGTTTCCAGTTTCCCACCCCTCTCTCACTTTGACACATTTCTTCAATAGCAAACTTCTAACGCCCCAAAAAGAAGTTCAGAGCCCAAAGGTTAAGTAGCTGACAGGAGGTCACTGAACAAGCTGTTAGTGAAGTCAGCCTTAATTATTTTTTTTTGCTTCCACTTCTGAGTCTGGGCCATAACAGACATCATCCTGACTGTTCTGGAAGTTGTAAAAGTAGGAAACAGTCACCACCAAAGCAGGCTTGGGAGTCAGGACTTGCTGCTTTGCTAGGAGCCAGAAAGTACTCCAGGATATATGCTCTTTTCTATCTCATCCTATTCATTTGTCTCCCTTTTTACCTACTCTCCAGTTTCAAGTGCATGTTTCCTTTTAATGCTCATCTTGAAAGGCCTGTTTTGCCCTTCTTGCTTCTCTGACCTTCTTCATCTCAAGAGAAAAGTGCTGTGGCAGGTCAACGACATTCCCTTCTTCTCCTTTCACTGCTTTCAGAAGCTTCCCTTGTGACAAAGTTTGTGGTGCTCGAGTAGTCTGGCCTCTTAATGTCCCCAAAAGGATGCCTTAAGGACTGTGAATGCAGCATACATCAGGCAGGTCTGTAATGACATCTGGCGTTCAATCTAGGAAAATGCTGATTATTGCCTCTCCCTGTTCTGGTGTTGTGAAAATCCAGATGTCAGCAGGCTGGCTGAAGGGGGAAGCAGAGATTCTTGTTTCTAGATCTTCTAGGAGGACCACAACAGCTTCTTATTCAGACTCTGCATCTCATGTAACTCGGCAGGATGGCCAAAATTATCCATTTGATCTTTATGGGAATGAGGTGTAGCCTGTGAGTGGTACTGGAGGAAAGTTATAGATAAACTGGCTTCATATAGCTGGCTGAAAGAGGGGAAACATAACCCCCATTTTAAAAAGGGAAAAAAGGAAGACAAAGAGAACTACAGGCCAGTCAGTCTCACCTCTGTGTCTGGCAAGATGATGGAGCAGATTCTCCTGGAAATTATGCTAAGGTGCATGGACATTAAGAAGGTGACTGGTGACAGCCAACACAGCTTCACTAAGGGCAGATCGTGCCATACAGATTTGGTGGCCTTTCTATGATGGGGTTACAGAATTGCTGAATAGGAGAGCTACTGATGTCATCTACCTGGACTTGTGCAAGGGATTTGACACTGTCCCCTGTTATATCCTTATCCCAAAATTGGAGAGACATGGATTTGACAGAAGGGCCACTCAGTGGGGAAGGAATTGGCTGGATGGTGACGCTCAGAGAGCTGCGGTCAATGGCTCAATGTCCAGGTGGAGATCAGTGACGAGTGGTGTTCCTCAGGGGTCAGTACCAGGACCAACACTGATTCAGACCCAGGCTTCTCAGTCCAGAAAATGTTTCATCTTACCAAAAGTCAGTCTCAGAGGTAAGCCAGCCAACCTTCCAAAATCTTTGGAAACCAAGGCACCGTATCAAAGCATCAACAATATGCATATAAAGTAGCTCATCACTTCCCACTTCACCTCTGGAGAGGGATTGTTCAGAGTTGAACCAAAGCATGTTTCATTAATAACACTAATTGCCATCTATCATCAAGAACACAGGGCCATTTTCCGCTATTTTCTAAATTAAAAATCCACACAGAAGCCTCTGAAGAGATGAAGATCAGAACAGGCTCAATTTTCCATGCAAATAATTTGCCTCTGATCTTGACCCAGAATTTTCATAACAATTGGAGCCAGTGTGGGGTTCCTGTGGCTCTGAGCTGCCCTGCGGTACCCAGCTGTCCCTCTCCTTCTCTTCTGGTGGGGTTCCTTTCATGCCTGCTTGGGAGGGCATATGTGCACCTGAGGCATTTTCCTTCACTGACTTTGACGTTTATCTCTGCTCCCAGTCCCCCTTTTATCCGTATTTGATCCCACTTGCTGAGTGCTGACAGGAAGCAGATGAAAGGATTCAAGTCTTTCAGTATCCATACTGGCCATCAACCTAGATAAGGTATTATAGTCTTTCTTATTAGCCAAGTGAGTGCCCAGATGAGCCCTGAGATGCTCAGACCAGCTTCCTCTGAAGCTCATAAAACTACTTATATTTTAGAGAGTGAAAAAAATAATGTAGCTTTGCAAGCTTGGCTTCCTTTTAAATACACACCTTTATTTTTGTTGCCTTTTGCAACCCTTAAGCACTGCCTTGCCCTCCACCAGGAAAGGTTTAATCTGCTAATATCCTTCTCTTAACACAGTAGTGCCCTACACAAGCCTGCCAGCTGGGAGAGGAGACAGGCCAAACCCTCTCCTGCACACTTCTGCTTCTGTTCCTTTCAGAATGATTCCCTCACTTGGGAATTGCTCAAAGCAGGTGGATAACAGGATAGGGTTAATTATAACAAATACATGCAGCCCACTAAAAATTCAATTTAACTCTGTGTGGAGTTTACTGATTGTACTGATCAGGAAGTAATTCAATTTTCTTTGATTTTTCTGAGTCAAGTCATACATAGAAGAGGAATTTACTATGCACTGCTCGTCACTGGAGAGGCATCTTTTCCTCCAAGAAGAAAAGCAAACTACAATTTGATAGGAGAAATAGCTTCTCCTATTGTCTTGCATACAGCCAGACTGAATCTTTGTCTCACCGTTACGTCCTCTGGTGACTAGGTAAGGGAAAAATACTCCCTTATCCAGGGATATTCCTGGATATTCCTCTGTAATGAAGAAGAGCTGGAAAAATAGAATGCCTCCGAGATGTAATAGAAGTTATTTAATATTGTTCTCACTTCTTTTTGTTCTCTGAAGCAATAATCAAAAGGAGTAATTTACCTGTCCTCTTCTCCATCAGGGTCACAGTACTCCCTCTTCTTCTACCTATAGTTACACATGCCTTACAAGCGGTAGCTTACAAGAGAGATGTACAGGCCAGCTTGAAATAAGATGGTTCAGGTTCTGGATGTGTCCTCACTATGTCTGGACTTTGATGGTTAGATTCTGTGTCACCTACAAATAGAAATCTGGAATAGCTGTACTGGAATGAAAGGAATCACAATGCTTTTTGATGTTTTATTTTATTACCATTTATTTATTTTATTATTACCATTTCTGCTCCTGTGCTTTTGAAGGCAATATCTTGCTATATTTCTACTGGTGTCTTAGATTCTTAAGTAAACAGGCTAGTTAAAAATGTGGATTATGGCTAAGAACAAAAGATAATATTTAAAACAAACTTATCTGCCTGGGGCAGTTGATTTCCCCAGCATAAGTCATTTCTTACCCTGTCACGTCTCAGCTACAAAGCCTGGGAGAAAATTTTTTTTTCCTGTTGCTTTAATACTGTTGTCTCCAAGCTGTGTCTTTTGTTCTACCCTGGCACCTTTGCCACCTTCCCCTAAGGTAGGAGAGCTCAATGAAGCAAGATTCCCCTGTAGGTTCTGGTTGGAGCTTTGGTGGAAGCCGTTTTTCTGCTTCCAGCTTGTGCCGTGGGTGGTACTTTCAGGCGTCCAGGCTGGTCTGGAACTCCCTTGAGGGTGACTGTCAGGGCTCTGCTCATCCCAAGACATTAAAGGGCTGTGGTTGGACAGTACTGCTCCCACAGTGTCTGTACTAAGCTATAACGGAGAGAAACACGTATTAGAGCTTGTATTTGCACACAGCAGATCCCTCTACCTACAGGACAAAGATGCAAGTTGTACATATCTCAGCCATTAGTGAATGCTCAACGTTCACCTCCTTACTTGTTGGACAGATCCACGGCTACTTTCCATCTTCTTTTTCTTGGAAATTGCTGGATTCCAGTGACACACCAGGCTGTCATTTTGGACACTATAGTTCTTGTTACCAAGAAGCCAGTAGGTTTTCATTTTCCCTTTGCCCTGGGACAAGAATAAGGAGAGAGCAGGGAGTGGCTTTTTTTGTGGGATGTGAGGCAGAGCAGAGAATCACTATGCCTGGGGCTCCTATTTGTACTGCATTGTACTGCATCTGTCTTCTGCTATCATGAGAGGCTGCTGCTTAGGAAAAGGACTGCAATTTGTATGCAGTTTGGGTGCTGGTAGTTCTTCCAGTGCAGAAAAAGGCCTTGCTGGTCACTGGTGATATTTCTAAGGGTTTAAAATCAGCCTTGTATCTATGTGTCTTTGTAACTGAATCCCAATGCTTTCACCCAGAATCATGTGGTTCCATGCAGGGGCAGGCACACCAAGTGTATTTCAAATGACACAATACCATTTCTGCTTTGGTTAGGAGAAGTAACATATAGCCATTTCCAGCTGAATTAGCAAGAGAACCTTGGTGCCATGGCTAAAAACCAGCTTGCAACACAGAGAAGAGCAATGGCCAAATCCATCCCGTTCTTTTAAACTCCTTTACTTTTGGGAAGTTACAGAAAAAAACAGTTACCTTGACATCAATTTCTCCCCTCAGTTCAATTTCATACGTGTCATCTGTGAGAAGGGCATTGTACGTAGCAGAACTGATGTGGATCTTCTGTGCTAGGATTCAGAACAGAGCATTAGAAGGGAAGGATTCCCCTGTTTCTGGAGAGCACACACTAGTCCTCCTGCATTACCAGCCCAGCGTTTCTACTTCCTCTTTGGAAAATGTCAGGTTGAGGAAGAAGTACAAAGCGGGGTGAAGATGCCCTAAATGGAGGATGAGGACTGTTTTGTCTCCAGGACACTGCATGCAGATGTCGGTTAACAGAACCACTGACATGACTACACAGTGCTGTGTGGGGTATCTGTACAACAGCACAGTACATGTATGTGGTATTGGTAGCAAAGGTAGCCCAAAAAGCTGGGCCAAGAAAAACATACGCAGTCCTCTTCTGTGTAGCCACAGTGTTTCTATCTAATGCCTTTGTTATTCAAGTCCTTAAAATGAAACTCAGCTTGCCTAACACTACTCAGCTTTTGTTGCCTTTTTATACTCTTTTTCTTATTTCCAAACTTCCAAGAAATAGCAAAAGAGAGAGAACTTTATTTGCCACATGAATGCACAAGAGTTTCTCTTGCTTGTTTGATTAGTATATATACAGGATAGTGGCAGCTGCGGGTCACACATATGCTTCTTTAGATCCATGGGAATTGGTTCTCTAGCCTGGCATATTCCACAGACATATTCCATGCTCCTCCTCCTGTATGAACCTTATTTCACAATTGCCCGTGGCCAGTGCAAAGGGGTGTTAGGGGGTTTCCTTTCACTGCAGTGCCTAAGAAACACAGAGTGCAGGTGGGAGCCTGGCTGGCGCATGAGAAATGTGTGGAGTGTGCCCAAGTCACTTACGCAAGCTGGTGGACTCCATGCGGGAGGCTGTGTTTACCGTGTCCCCAAACAGGCAATAGCGAGGCATTTTGTACCCCACAACTCCAGCTACACAGGGTCCTGAGAAAACATAAGGCGTAGAGATCCTAATAAGAAACAACTGGAAAAAGTGCAGGGAGATGCCAAATGTAGACACCTTTGCTAGGCAAATTCTGGATCCTCAAAGAGCAACGGGAATTGGGAATTCTCCCTGCACCTAGCACCCAGCTGCACACTATTTACTTAAGGACAGAAGGGATCATTTGATTAGCTGTAGATAATTGGCCCTGATGGCAGGGGAAGGTGCACTTTGCCAGTACTGAACTATTTCACAGCCCTTTCCACACTAATGCAAGCAAAAATCAGTTTGCCCAACTATTACTGCTGGAACCTGGAGATATTCATCTTGGGGTCCTGTAGGGAGTCAATGGCTATTACAGAAATGTAGTTTTTTATTCTTACATAATTAGTTTTTTTCAAGCTCCCACCTCAGCCCATGTACCTGTGTGTATCCCAGCCCGCAGCTGCAGCCTGCCAGTTGGCATATGAGGGATCACAACTTGACGAACTGCTGCCACCAGATCCAGAGACATTTTGGCAATCTCATCAGCGTGTTTAGTGCCATTCCTCTCTGGCAGGCCACTCACCACCATGTAGGCATCACCAATGGTTTCCACCTGGAGAGAAGGGACACCTGTCACCGAGTGGCAGGCACTAAGCTTTTCTTTCAAAATGAAATCAGAATAAAATGCATCTCAGCTGCCCAGCCCTTGCTAAGTTGTGATGTGGGCCCTGGGTGATGGGGGATCTTGGATTTCATGGCTTCTGGACAGCTGTATTTAACATTCACCAGGGAAAACAGTAAGTAGGATTTCAGCTACTTCTAGGTTCCTTGCCTGCAAGTTTGTACTCACCTTGTAAACATCGTAAGACTCAATCCTGCTGTCAAAGCAGACGTAGAGATTGTTGAGCATCTCAACAACTTGCAAGGGGGTGCAGGAGGCAGCAATGCTTGTGAACCCCACGATGTCTGAGAAAAAGATAGTCACCTGTCACAGGGAGAAGGAAGGTGTGAAGTTAACATCTGCAGGCAGTAGAGACAGAGTCTCTGATGAGCTTGGGGATTTGTGAAATTCTGAGAAGAGCCTAAAGCACAGGCTGCGTATAGAACCAGTTTTGCAAAACTGGATAGATACAAACCTAAATTAGCGAGCTCTGGCTCTGAATTGTTTCCATTACTTTGCTGCATAAAATATGTTTATTTCCTAAGTTTATCATATGCACTTCTTTGAATACTTTGCATGAGATGGGAGACTGAAAGTCAAATGCTTTGCGCCTTGTAAGCAGTCATCAACAGACTTCTTACAGTAGAAGTAGAGCCTGATTTTCCTTTTAAAGTAATTTGAACTGTGCTGATCAAGACTGGGTATCTGAACAGACCGAGAAATTAAAACTCAATTGCTACCTGATTTCTTGTTGAATCAGGAAATATTCACTGGATTTTGTTTCTCTTCAAATGATGTTTATCTTTGTCATGATCAAATAATTTACAGAGAAATTTATTATATATATATTTTTTTAATCAAGCTTATAAAACAAAGTACAACAGAAACCATAATTGAATTGAGGAAGGAAAATGTGCGATAGTTGGCAAAAAAATAAGCATTTCTTCTTTGTGCTGCCTGAACTGTGTGTTTAAACTAAAATTGTTCTTTGATTTGTCATTGGTAATAACAATTAATTTAGAAAAGCAACCTTTTCACTCCCTACATTGGCTTAGCTACTTTCAATGTCATAACTATTGTGAATTATAATTAACTGTGCAACTGTATGTCACTGTTTTAATAACAACACCTACAAATTAAATGCAAACAGTTATTGTTGTATTTCAGAGCTGAAAGTAGCAGAGTGTCCAGGTGGAAAAGAGTGAAGAGAATTGCAATGGTTGTAGCATCAGGATTTTGGCTGGGGGCTATGTTGAGCATTGGTGACTGCAGGCGTGCTGTGTACACATGGTCTAATGATGCTGGTTGGGTCTCACGAGTAGTCTCTGAAACCCAAGTAAGACAATTTGCAAGTATAAGTTTATGATATCTCAGCTATCACAGAACTGTAGGGGTTGGAAGGGACCTCGAAAGATCATTGGGTCCAACCCCTATATCGCACAGCTACATCACACAGCTCTTTCAAAACCCTGTAGTGATTATTAGGATTTACATTCACATTCAACTGTGGGTACAAAAGCAGGTTCCTCAAAACAGAGGCAAGGTGAGTGCTCTTTTTAACAAATATTCTTCTACCCAAGGCAATTGCATCCTTTCCATTTGCTAACGTACAGACTCTGGATTTACCTGATCGTAGTTTTCTGCCTCAACTTTTTGCCTTTTCCTTAACTGCTTGGCCACAGATTTTGGCAGCATCTGATGCAAGAGGTCCTCAGCTAGCTGCCTCTCCCGTTTCAAGTCCTGTGTCTTTTCCTTGAGGTTCCTGGCGTAATTGTGTATCCATTCCATCATTTGCTTGAAGGATATAAGGATTATGGGGTAAACAAGGCAGGCTATCACTAGCAGACTGATCTTAAGGCTCATTGTGAACAGGATTTCTTTAGATTTCTTGACGAGCTTTTCCTGTCCCTTCTGCAGCAGGCAGCTCTGCACGTAATGAAGTCCATTTAACAAGTCTTCAGCAGAGACAAATTCGTCTAAGCGCAGGAATGGAATGGAAAAAGAGATCCCTTCGTAGTGAGTGAAATGAGATGAGAGATTGGCGTTATCCATCCAGCACTTATGTATGTTCTCTGACGAGAAAATAGCATAGTTCAGAATGGTGGAAAGTTGATGCCAGGTGGTTTGAAAACCTGTAGATACTGGCATTAAGGGAGCTTTAAGCAGGGCTTCTCTTATTAGAAGGATGAGTTTAAAAGCTACTATAGTCTGCCCAGTCAGGATTGTTTCTCATAGCTTTGAGGTTTTCATGGGGACTACTAAAAAGCTCCAGCAGTTCAGAGATCACTCTGGATAGCACCTGGGTAGCCTCAGTATCACCTGTGCTATTGATTTTTTGTCTCATGTCAGTGATGTAGAACCTACAGATGGAGATTTTCTCCTTCTTGCATTGACAATTCTCACAGTACAGTTCTGCTTCACTTGCCTTACAGAGGGAGTTTAAATCCTCCAGGAGCTGATCGGCACGAAATGGGGTGTTCCTCTTATTTGCTTCTGGGACCAGCCAACTGTGCCTTTCTTCCTGCAGGAGAGAGATGAAGCGAACAGCCCAAAGGTTTTCACAGGAGGCAAGTTCCTGAATGGCTTTTCCTGTGTCTCTCCATATTTCCAAGTTGTTGCTCAAATCAAAAGAAATGGCTCCGAGAAGGCTGCAGAGGGAGATTGTGCATGCTGTCAAAATCCTTTGAACTGTTTTTCTACCACCAGCATTGGAGGAGTGAGAACATCTTAACAAAAAAAAAAAAAAAAAAAAAAAAAAAAAAGAGAGAGAGAGAGAGACAAAGAAAATAAAAGAAAAAAAGAAAATGGGTGGGATGGGGGTGGTGGTGAAGTCTGATCACTGAGGTGTTTCTTGAAGCTCCTGAAAATATAGCTGGAGCAGGTAGCGATATTTAACAATATGCATGCATCCTGAAACAAAGTACCGAAGTACCAGGGAGTTAGCTGAAATTTATAGAAAGACATCTTTTGTTCTATTTTTCCATCTGACATTTTGTTATAAAAGAAAAGGTGTAGCAAAGAGACAGTTCTCACGACAGTCTCAGAGCTGCAAAAACACAGGAATTAAATGAATTTTATTGCAAGTATTAAGACTGATGAAATAATTTGCCGCAGGTTTTATTCCCTGTGTAACGTCTATGCAGACCATAAAAAATGGGCTCATTATTTCAATAATCATGAACTGTAATTGTTGACATTTTTTAATCAAAGGAGATACCAAAACTTGTAGAATTTGTTCTTAATAGGAATTTCCAGAAGATTAGTTTGTGCTAATATTTTAAAATTAAGCTTCTTTCTTTTAAAATTAAGCTTTCTTTCAATGTCTGATTGAAAGAAACCGCGAGCCCGGAAGAGTTTGTCTCTGAACTGAGATGCATTTCTAGCCTCAGAATCAACTTCCAGTCTTTTCCTGATTCTTTCCACTGCTAACCTTTGAATCACTCACCCTCCTTTTATAATCGATAAAATCGATATAATTGATTTATACTTTTGAATCTGCCTAAAAATGTGCCGGGAGGCAGAAGAAAAGCAACAAAATCTGCCTTGATTTTACACTGCCTAACTTTTATTGTGATCAGAGAAAGATAAAGAGGGGCTTTAATTTTGTCCCAGGTTAAAATGTGATTCTGCTTGAGCTTTGAAAAAACAAAAACAAAACCCATTTGTGTCCAACTGAGTGTTGGCTGACAGCAACAATTCAGAGGTCTTCACCTGGCATCTGAATTAATTGAAAAAGAGCGATGTGGACACAAGGGAGAGGGGTCTGCAGTGATGCTGCCAGGGCAGCTGCCAGCACTTGCTGCTGCATTTTAACATTCCTGTTGCTAAACCCCAAGATCCCAGGGTGTTAAAAACCTGTCTAAAAGCAGGCACTTTGCAGCACTCCCACACTCACCTGCATTGACCTGCTTGCGCCCGTGCTGCCTTCCTGCTGGGCATTGCCACTGCTTGTCCTGGTGAGTCCTGCTCGCAGGCTTGATGGTCCTGTCTCCTGCCTGCCCGCCTCCTCCTGCCCTGCTAGTTCCTTGCTTTCTCACCGCTCTACCCCTAGAGTTCACCCCATGGCTTTCTACTCTTCCTGGTGCCCATCTTCTTCACAGCAGGCTGGCATCTTCCCCCAGATGAGCATCAAGCTCTAGCCCAAGGCGGGGGAAAAGCTTTAAAAGGTCTCCAGCATTATCGCTAAATACAGGCTCTGGTCTTGACAATACACAAGAAGAATTGACAGGGACACGTGTCTTTCTTTCATGTTGCAAAAATAGTGTTTATTACAGAGTTAAAAGAGTAATTTCCCAGCTATTTGTGATCAAAGGTGTCATGATTACGTCTTTATTCAAACTGTTCTCCTTCTTGGCACCGAACTGATGTGTCATCCAGTTCTCTGGCTTAGTTGCTTGCCATAGCCTACAAAAATGTAAAACAAAGCAAAAATCAGATCACAATTTGAGAATTTGTGAATAGTGTATGTTGCTTCCAGGATGCAGGATTTGAACAACTGAAACAAGATTTTTGCTCCTCATTCACTCTTTAAATTAAGGTCTATAGTATATTAAAAAATTGTTGCTCCTAGACTTGAGTAGTATGGTCTACCTTCTAGGGTGCAATTGTTACAATCATTATTATTCATAATACAAATGTAAGTAATCACTTCTGAAGTCACAACAATAAATCATTTACTAACTATAAATACATCTGTAGTCTAAAGGCAAAATGAATTCCTAAACATAGAGAATTGTTTAAAAGTGAAAATAATTTGGATAACTAATTTCAAAGAGGTTTATGTATTTTTGCTCAGGGAATTGCTTTTGTGTTGGTAAGGGCTTGCCTACAGAGACAGGATACTTGTATGTAAAGTATCATTTGAATTAAAATTGAAACAGTTCCCTGAGTAGGTAACAGAAACGTCAATCAGAGGTTACTTGAATAATTTTTCTGGTGCTTTTCCTCTAGAAGACACGTCTTTAAAACATCTTTTTCTCCCCCCAGGTCCTCCAATAATGACCTTAGCAATAGCTAAGAGTCTGTATTCCCCCGTAGAAATGCATAGAACCTTACTTGCTCGATCCAGCTGTTGTAAGCAGAGACCCGAGTGAAGACAGAAGGTTTCCGATAATAGTTGCAGCCAAGAGAAGAGCCAAAGCTGACAATACCGTGCACTTCCCATTTGCCATTAGCACCTTGGCAGTTCAGTGGGCCACCAGAGTCCCCCTGAGAGGAAGGGGGATAATAGTTAATTGTAGTCATAGTGTGAGTAGTTCTTCCTTGTGTTTTAAGCTTTCCTTCCCATCAGGCCTGTTTGTGTCTAAAACCAGCCCCAAAGAATGACATTCTCTGGACTCACATTACAGCTGGAGGTGATTCCATCCCCACCAGCGCAAACCATGCTGGTTTTCACTGTGCTTCCCCACCAGGAAGGGCTGGAACAAGTTGCATAAGACACCACCAGCAAAAGACCTTGCTGCAGTTTGTCTGGAAGAGCTCCGTTTGCTGTGAGGGGATAGAAACAAAGGAGTCACGATACCATAGCACTGAAGGAAGAACAAAAGTGCATCGATAAGTTTCTCTCAGGATATGGACACTATTCCTCCAGGTAAGAAACTCCATATGAGCTGTATAATCCATTCCTTATATGCATTCTTTCACCAAAAAAATGCTGTAATTTACTAATGAGTTAAAAATACTTCTTTGTTAGAGAAATACAGGGCTGTTCTTTGGAAGTTTGCAATTTACTTCTCTTTCTAGGAATTGCCTCTTGAGTCGAGCTGACACTTCTGCTGAAGTCTCTGAGATTTTTCTTTACGTTCTTTCTGCTCCCTTATTTGCCTTTTCAGTTATTCAGCAAGGCATATTAGGATTAGCAAATTCACGCTATTAATGCTTATTAGAATAGTTTCTGAAAGCCGAGTATAGGGCCCTCTAGTGCATTACTATCTCAATTACAAGCAAAATAAATGCAGGGAAAAGTCAGTGTGTGAGTGAAGTGGGGCCTGATCAGCTTGGTGTCAAGGGGATCTTCAGCACCACTAACCCACCTTTTTCCAGTCAATTCCAAAGGAGATGGCAGTACAGAAAGATTTTGTTTCAGTTTTCTAAATCTCCAAGTACTTACTCTGCAGTCTTCCCCATCCTGTCACATAGCAGGCGGTGTTGGATGACAGGACGTTTCCTGCAGCAGGGAGGCAGGCCAGCTGAATTTTATCACTCAGGGTGACGTGTTTAGTGAGTTTGATCAAAGCAATGTCGTACCTGTGGTCATATGCACATATATGAGAATGGGGAAGGCAAGGGGTGAAGAGGATTGCAAATAGTTAAGACATAGCAGCACAAATACGTAGCTGTTGTTCAACACTTCACCTATTTAAAAGAGATGCGAGGAGGCCACTGTGTGAACAGTAAAGATTCCTCCATCCTTAAAGTGGTAGGGAAATCCACACACTGGAAGACTTCCCTACAAAACTGTCCGCTTTGCTGCTTGGCAGTTTTCTGAACTTTTATAGTTCTCTTCACCAAAAACAGGCACATGTGTGAGGACTAACTCTAAGCACTCAGAAAGTGAGGCAGTTGCTTTGCTAATGTACTCGTCCTGCAGGAATGCATAGGAGTCCTTCATCAACAAATGTATTCATTCCATTTATCAGTATTTCTCTGTGTTTATGCTATTCATATGAGAACTTCAAAGTGTTGTTTAAATTGATTGATCAATTCATTCCCTTTCACTGTATGAAAGAAATTATTGCATAGAACAACAGTATCTCATAAACATAAACATGCACAATGGCAGCCAAAAATGCAATTAGTCAATAATAAATTAATACTGCCAGTTCTTTCTCTTCTCTTGCGGGGGAATGGTACATAGTGGAGTCTCAGCTCTCCTCTATGAGAAAACATTTAGAAATACCATTGTAAGCTGTAACAGGAGATTCTAAACATCCATTTGGCTGCTACAGCTCAGGGTAGGTGGGATTCAGTCGATTTGATTTTTGTCTTCCATCTAGTATGTGAAAAAATACTTTCCAGAAACTTACCCATTTGCAACATTGTATGAATTCCATCTCTCATGGACAACAAATTTTTCTGGATAAGCTGTGACAGATCCTGCTTCCTCTTCTGCTAAGTTATATTTTCCAAGAAGTACCCGATATTGCAAGGTAGAACTGGACAAGAAAAGGACTAACAGTTATGCAGTTACCAGCTTGCTGCTTAGTCATCTGCATCTTATCCACCTGAGATATCAGTAAGGTTATTATCAGTAAGACTGTTAAGACTGATTATCTTAAGACTGTAGTCTCACATCACACGCATGATTTGGCTGGAGCTGAGCCAATGTCTGACTTATTTACTAAGGACAAGGCATTGTATGATGGGCTTAATACTCATTTAATCTCCAAGCCATCCTGTCGACTCCTGCTTTAGGATTCATTATCAAATGAATATGCTTCCAATTTTCACAGGATACAGATGGTATTCCCAATGTAATAAACAATTTGGAGTGCCTTTTTGACAAAATGATAGTATTTGTTCATAAGCATCTTCACTGGTAAACAGCTGCAGGACACACATAATATACAAAATTAATGATAATAACATGCAGCCAGTCCTTATTTCATATGATGATGTTTTCTACAACCTAGTGTTACAATAACCAACATGTAATGTATTCGTTATTATATGTATTCAAGGACATATACTACCAAACCACAATGGGGTTGGCTCCATGGAGACAATTTTGATGATGAAGGGGCATATTTGTATCTGATCATTTATTTGTTTTACTCTCCCATAGTATGAAGAGCATTCTGAAAACAACTGGGAAATTCAAACCATTTGTGGTTACTTTTTCAGGGAGTGGACTGAGTCATTTCTCTGTAGCTCTCACTGCCACGTATATAATAGAAATAGGCAACATAGCTGAATTTTAATAGCAACTTGAAAATGTAATGATTCTTTAGGTATCTACAGGAAATTAGGGATATATAATTCAGGTCATTGTATGAGATTTTTTCTTCCCCTCTACTTTTATTTTAAGAAAATTAAAAAATGTGTTCCTTCTTATGGCCTATTAGTTATAATAAAGGATATTAAACTTGAAGTTCTTAATTGGGAAAGGAAGAACTGCCCTTAATACTATTTTGCTTCATCTGTCTCTGGTCATGCGCTACTTCTGAGTACAGACTAACTCAATGATTTACCTGATGCAGTGTGCAGCTGTCAATACCCAGTTGGTTGCAATGAGGGTTCCTCCACAAGTATGATACCATTTGCCGCTTGATTGATATTGAAGGGAGACCTAGGATCAACATATCAAGTAAGGTTTCAGTTTTTGGTTGCTCATTTTTTCTTGTTGCACTTTCTTCCTGGACCCATAACACAATTTACCAGTTGAAAATGGTGAGAGTTTTTAAACTACCATCCCTATCATCCAAAAATTTGATTTTTATAATGTGTTTTTTGTTTGTTTGTTTGTTTTGTTTTGTTTCTCCAAAGCCCTCACTAAGTCTGGTCCAAATAGAGCATTTTATTTGCTTCAAAAAGCTATTTGTTAACCATGTACAACTACATTCCAGTAGGTATTGCACTTTCCACTGAATTTTAGTCTTCTTGCTTAAATATGGCAGAGTGCCCTAGTCTAACACAAGAACATGAAAGCCTTTCTAACCAGCAAGAGGTGGCACATTCAGAGCTTTCTTAAATAGACTGGAAATTCTGAGGTTGATTAGAAGGTAATATTCAAAACCTAAGACATGACAGGTAAGATGCAATGATCAAATGAAACAAAAGACCTGGCTTTGTTCAGCCATGTTGTGTGAGGGCATCGCAGCTCTAATTGTTCCAGGGAAGCACAAAATGACTAACCTGCCAGGGCCAGCTGTACGGTACTGCATTTTCCCCTCCAACAACTCTACTCACAGCAGGTGCATAGGCAGGTACCCCACAGCCAAGGGCTAGAAGACATACAAAATAGGATGTGTGATTTATAAGTAGGAAGTTTAAAAAACAAAATCTGTAAGAGAGGTTGTTTTTGTTTTTAATAACTGTGTTTGCACAGAACATTGCATGGCACAAATATAAGCTATAATTTGTTGTGGTACTGGTCAAGATACAGCCATCAGTCAAAACTGACCAATGTTATATAAAGTCTGTGTTTTCTGACAGTAACCAAATCATGTTGGCTTAACCAAATTCTCGAGAGTCAATTGAGATGCAGCTCCTAACGAATGCAAAGCAATTTGATGTGAATTAACTGTATTTCAGCGTATTCAAGCTATGTAAATTAGCTTTTAATTTGTTGTCGTATGAGAGCAGTAATCCTAATTGAGTTCCTGCAATATGAAAAGAACAGCGTAGCACCTAGTTGCTGTTTTCAGAAAACCTTTTTAATTAAAACCTATACTGCTTTGTTGCAGAATGTCTAGTATCCTGTCCCATCCCCCCACCAAGAAAGGGAAAGTTGCTATTAGATTTTAATTCATTATGCCCTTAGAACTAATACTGAAATTGAGTACAGACCTGCAGCTGCCAGAGTCAGCACGGCAAAGAGAATTCCAAGCATGATGCAGGTTGGCTTTATGCTGCAGGCTCTGCTTTGCAAGCTATTTTATACGTTACCATTTATCTCTAGCGTATGACTTAAAATGCGGTGTTATGCTGATACTAATGGAAAACTTGTGCAACTGTGGGATAATTTTTTATATGCACAAATGCTTAAGAAAAAAATCAAACAAAAGAAAAAGAAAAAACAGGAACAATGTTTAGATGGACCTTGAATCCAGGCTAAACATACAACTTTGGTTTAAAACAAATTCAGCTAAATTACATGTAATCTGTAGCAGCTGTTTGCTTTCCCATTGCCTTGAAATTTCATCACAAAGGTGTTTCTAGAAGGAAAATGTTAAATGAATTATTCTAACTCTTGATGCAATAACACTATCTGACATTTCAGGCAGTGATATATTCAGACACGTCAGTGGGGTTGTATTGAACGATCTTCTGAGGCCCCTTCCGGGCTCAATTATTGTGATTGTGTGATTACTTGATATTTTATGATTATATGATTACTTGATATTTTATTTTATTCTGATTTTTCTTTTGTGACTGAATAGCAACTACCACATTGTACTAACTGGAAAACCTGTGTTTTCTTTCCTAGACCAAGTTGCATGTGTTTTAGCGTGTCATACTTCTTCAATGAAACGAACTGTAAGCACTTTGGAGGGGATACTAGAGGGCACTGGGGACCGTAGGAGGTCTCTAGAGTGCCCTGGAAAGGTTCTAATGGGTGCTAGAGCACACTGGAGAGCTCTGAAAGGTCTTACAAGGGCCCTGGAAGTCCTCTAGTGTGCACTGGGAGGCCTCTAGATCTCTCTAGGGTGCACTGGTGAGCACTGGGAGGTTTCTAGGGTGAACTTGGAGATAGCTAGGGCACAAAAGATTTTACTGGGAGGCCCTGGAAGGCCTCTAGAGAGCTCTGGAAGGCTTCTAGGGGATGTGAGAGCACAGCAAGGTCTCCAAAGGGCATTAGAATGCACTGGGGTGCTCTGGGCACCTTCCAGGAAATACTATACTACTACACTAGGAGGCCCTTGCAGATTCTAGTGTGCACTGGGAAGCCTCTAATGCTCACTAGAGTGCAACTGGGAGCCCTGGAATTCCTCATGGGCATCCTAGAACTACACGTGGGGCCTGGAAGGCCTTTGGGAAGTGGTAGAGTCCACTGGGAGGCCTCAGAAGGTATCCAGGGGCTACTGGACTGCACTGGGAGGGTTGGGAGGCCTCTAGGTGCCCCTAGAGCATATCAAGGGGCACAGTGGGATGGCTGTAGATTACCCTAGAGAGCACTAAAGAGGCCTTCAGAGGGTGCTAGCGTATGCTACAAGGCCTTGCAAGGCCTCCTAAAGGTTCTAGAGTACTGGAGGGTCACAGGAGGCCTCAAGACTGCACTGGGGGGCTGCTAAGGCATCCTAGAGGACACTGGGGGTAACTGGGAGGCTTTCAGAGGGAGCTAAAGTGTCCTGAGGAGCCCTGATAGATATGCAGAAGCTCCAGGGCAGACAGGAGGGCCACTGGAGGCCTCTTGTGTGAACTGGGAGGCATTCATGGAACCCTAGAGGACAGTGGAGAGCCCTGCCAGGCCCTTAGGTGACTCTAAACACATTGGCTGTCCCTAGGAGACTTCTAGCATACTGTAGAGTATACTAGAGAGCACTGGGTAACCTCTAGGGTGCACTAGGAGACCTCTAGGGTGCCATAGAATGCACCGGGGGGGGGGGGGGGGGGGGCTGGAATGCCTCTAGAGTGCCCTTGGAATCTTCTATGGAACTCGAGAGCACACTGACACACTGTAGAGCCCCACAAGTGCTCCAGGGGGCTCTAGAGCACACAAGGGTGGGGTGGAGGGAGTGGGGGTGCCTACAGCTTTCCAGGGGGCACTAGATAAAAAGGGGTAGGACCTGCAAACCTCTAGGGTGCATAATAAAGCCTCTAGTGGTCTCTAGAGTGCAATGGAGAGCCCTTCGGGGTCTCCAGGGGATCTCAGTGCACACCCAGGGCCACTGGGAGGATTTCAGGAGGAGTTTGAGTACACTGGGGGGGCAGCTGCAGACCTGCAAAGGCTCTAGAGCAGGCTGGAGGGCCATGGGAGGCCTGTAGTCTGCACTGGGAGCCTCCGAGAGGGTGCTAGAACTCACTGGAGAGCCCTGTGTCTCCAGGGGGTGTTGGAGCACACTGGAGAGACCTACAAGGCCTCCAGAGGGACTTAGGACACAACAGCAGAGACCTGGCTGTGATCCAGAGGGTTCTAGACTGCACTGGGAGGCCTGCAGTGCTCTCTAGAGTGCCAGGAGGGGCTGAGATTCCTATACGGCATCCTAGAGCAAACTGGGGGGCTTTTGGAAAGTGATAGAAGGCACTGGAAGGCCCTGGGAGGCCTCCAGGGGACACTAGAGTGTACTGCAGGGCCACAACAAGACTCGAGGCTGCACTGGGAAGTCTCTAGGACACCCTGAAGGACACTAGGGGCCACTGTGAGGCTTTCAGGGATAGCTAGAGCACATTGGGAGGCCCTGGTAGACAAGCACAGGCTTTTGGGTGGACTGGAAATTCATGAGGCGTTTAGTGAGCACTGGAAAGCCAATACAGCACCCTAGTGGACCCTGGAGAGCCTTGCAAGGCATCTAGCTGGCCCTAGAGCACACTGTCGGGCCCTGAGAGGACTTGAGCGTGCCCTAGAGCATGCTAGAGAGCCCTGAGAGGCCTCCAGGTGGCAGCAGATTACAGTAAGGGTCTCTGGGAGGTCTCTCGGGGGTGCAATAGGAGGCTCCTAGGGCACCCGAGAATACAATGGAGGGCCCAGGGAGGGGGTTCTACACAGACCACTCTAGAGAGACCTAGAGGCCTCCCAGTGCTCCTTCAAGGGCTCCCAGGGCCCTCCAGTGCATTCTCAGGTGCCCTAGGAGCCTCTTGCTGCACCCTAAGAGGCATCCCAGGGACACTTACTGTAATCTACTGCCCTCTGGAGGCCTCTCGGGGGTATCTAGGGCACACCAGGAAGTTGTTACAAGGAACACAAAGCATCAGTCCATGATGACAGAGAAACAAACTGGTGCATGGTAAGCCAGACGTCATTTCTTTCCTATTTTCCTTTAACTGATAGATTGGTAGCACTTCCCTGGAAGAGGACAAGGATTCCATAGCATCACAAACGAGCATTTTCATATCACCAATCCGCATGTTGACCTGTGTTAGAATGCCATGTGAACTTGTCAATGAAAAGAGGGTAAACCACCTATTTTCACCAAAAGGACAAACTAGTAAGAGGAGGCATTTAGAGGAGCTGCCACAAAAGAAATACTTACTGTGTTGTAAATTCATTACCGGACTTTTGAGATCTATGACTTGACATCAACATTTATCACTTTCTTCCTTCTACAAGGAGAATTTTCCATTATCTGTCACAGTTACAACCAGCTACACTTCACCTGAAAATATGTTACATCTCTATCCCATAAGCCTGTGTAAAGGGCAAACTTATTGGAAGAGAAACAAATATTTAATGTCAGTTCAATAACCACAGTTGGATTTTTTTCCTCTACATATAGACAAAACTAAAGGTTTCCAAAAAGCTGAAATGAACCTATTATTTAATGTTAATGTTAACAAGCAGCAAAATGCGTGATTTTCATAACTTTCATTCAGCAATAGGTACTGATTTGGATGAAAGGTGCCTGGAGCACACATGGGGAAGGCAGAAATACACATGTATAATGCTTTGCTGTTTTGTCTGACTCTCAGGAATGTATTATCCTACCCAAACAATAGTGCTTGAGAAAGCTGCATTCTGAATTTCAATGGAATCAACCAAACTCTGTTCTGGCATCTTGTATTTATTATGTGACAAAAATAAAAATCAGGATTGACAAGCATAGAAATGAGATTCTAAAAAAAATAAATAATAAATCAGGAATTAGTTGGCTATCTTTGTAACATCTGAACTTACCCATGAAACAATGTACTGTACTTTCCAGTTTTAACTTCCATGTGGCTTTCTGTATCCCATATTTCCACTCTTTTCACTGAATACTAATTAAAAAGTATGAATTTTGGATGTTCAGTCGCTATCTCAATTTTCCTGTTTTGTGGGTATGGTTTTAAACATGGAGTTGTGTTAAGTAGTTTAAGCATTTCTGCAATCATTTCTTAAGTAACCTGCTATCTTACATATTAGAGAGAAAGAAAAACCCCATTTTGTCTTTCTGTTCCTTTTCGTCATTGTAAAGGTATTCCAAAACAGTTGTTTTATTACATGGTAGGGAGGTTAATAAGAATGATAGTAGTTTTAATGTAAAACTCCCTCAAACCTTTTTTGTTGTGGTTGTTCCATTCCTGCTTTATGTAACAACTGCTTATCCATCTTTTGCAGGCCTAGTCTAAATAGGTTGAAGTATCTTTCCTGGACTCAGTGGACATCATACTGTTGGCAGCAGTACATCAGAAACCTCATCCTCCAGCTGATACCATATGGCTTTGAAACAGCTCCCTAGAAGCTCTTATCTCCATGCCAGTTACTTCACAGAAACTCAACAGTTACTGGGACTTCAGGAAGAGAGAGCCCAGGAACTTCTGGTATGTTCTGTTAAAGCATAATAGCTAATGTATGTGTTAAATATATACTTGATATACAGTTACTTATGTACGCTGTTGCTTCACTTCTTTTAATCTGTTCCCTTGTAGGGTAGTAAACATGCTAGACCAATTAGTAATTGGAACAGTCTGCACACAACTAACAGATATAAAAATCTACTTTTCTGAGGGAGGTTTTTCATCTGAGACTAGACAGTAACCTATTTAAAAATCTGAAGTTAAATCCTGCCCCAGCTTTTCACTGGGAGCACCATATGTGCTATATTCATTTCTCACTGGATGGCCATTAAGTCTGTTGCTTGGTTTTCTCTGGGTCTATCTTTGTGTGTTCTTAAAAGTTAAACTTGGCCTGCATGTTTCAAGATGTAACAGTGTTACCTTCCAGCTTCTGACTTCAAAAATGTTTCCTGCTTAGCCATGTTTATATATTGATTTTTACGCTGTATTTTTTTTATATCCAAACACTTCCGTAGCTGACATTGGACAGAGGTGTTAACATAAGGCTCTGCTTGTTCTAACTGGGCCAAGAGAAAGGAAAAGAGGTAACAAATCAAAACACAAACAAAAAACACACTTTAGTGATCAGGTAGACTAAAAGGTATTTATTTAGAAACAACAGCTTTGGTATTTGAAAACCAAACAACCTTTAAATCACTAGAAAGTGAGATGTCTCCCCCCATAGCCAAAACAAATCAATGCACAAAGTCTCAATATGCTCAGAATAGGAAACCTGCGAATTAGCATTTCCAAGTGTAAGTCCAGAAAACAATTTCCTTAAACTGATTTTGCACTCTACAATCATAAAGGCTGAAAAATGTTACCTGCACTTAGATATCTACAGTTCAATTGACTGACTTGTTACTGAACTGGAGGCAAAATTAATAACATTCTCCCCCAACCCCCCCAAGCAATAAATTAAAAAACGTATACCAGAAAGGAAGTTACACTGAAGTTTTCTAGTTAAGTTAACTCTCTGATGGGAATCATCATTCTTTATTTTCCTGTGGGATTAAAAAAAAAAAAAATCAAAATATCAAAGGATTCGGTATATCTTCAAGTATTTTCACCAAATGGATTACTCTTAGGGAACACAACAGCTTACAAGGAAAAAGAAACATCTGTTATACAAGCTTCTGGGATAAACTCTTGAATAACCACATGTTCCAAGTTTCAGATTCCTTTCTTAACAAGGCACAAAAGGATTGTTGCTTTCAAAAAGTCCTTGTTCTCAGCTGCAAAATTGTCAGATGTGTTGTGCAAATGGAGGCTGAAAGCAGGACTAAGTTCACTCAGACACTGGGATATTCCCATTCAATTAATAAAACAAGGTGCTATTTCAACACCATTAATCTTGCTTACTGCTGTGGAGATTTTGAGCTTCAGCTGGCTTCCACTTCATCCCTGCTTTTGAAATTGAATTCTGCAACATCTTCATTTTAATTAAAACCAGGCAGCAGAATAGCTTGCTGTACACTGCAAGGCTTTTTGCAATTCCAAGAAGGAAGAATAAAGAGTTAAGTCAGCCCTGGCATGCAGCTATGAACTTTTTAACAATTTCAGAAAATAATTTCAGGGACGGTTACCTGTAGTCATGGTTAACAAGTTGTTTTGTAAAAGGCAGAAGGCAAAACTTGTAAATGACAACGGCAACCAGATAGCAGTGAAAAAAAGGACAAAATTTTATAATTTCAAGGGAACATTTCAGGATGCAGCTGTACACACAGTAATTCAAATTACTTCCTTACCACTTCCTTTTGCACTAAGGTTTCATCAACATAGGCTTGCAACTTCAGTTGCCTTTGATATACATCTTTTCTACCTCTTCCTAGGTTAGTTTGTCTACCCACAAGCACCTTCCATCTCATTCTTTCAATGGATAACAGGTATTCAGACCTGCTGGGATCAGGCCTGGTTTGCAGTGCTCAACATTACAAAGCCAGTGAGCTGACAGGAAAATGGCCAGCTCATCCTAGACACCACTTAAGCACTGACCATCACCCAGCACTTTTTGCCCAGCCTTAGGCAAAATTTTATTTGCTTTTATGATTTGGATAAACAGGGCATTCCAAACCCTGAACTTTTCCTCTGACAGCTCTATTTAACTATGTCTTAAAAAAAAAAAAAAGCCAGAGTTAGCTGTCCAACCCTAAAGAAAGATCCCTCTGAACAAGATTGCCTGCTCACATAACAAACCTAGTCTTCTTCTTCATTTCTGCTCTGTATCAATGCATGACCAGAAAGGACCAGTACTGGGAGCAGAAACTGCTTGTCTAGTGTCTGTTCTGTACTAAATTTTTACTAGCAACCAAGTTTTCTAGGCTCCTCAAAACAAGCACTTTAAATCTTTTGCACCAAATTGAGAGATGCGTGAAGTCAGAACCTCCAACTCGCAGTAAATGCACTCAGTGCTTTTCTCAAAGCCACACTAGCACACTTTCCCAAAATGATGTTGGTGATGTGGCATGATGGAGGATTACAGTGTCTGCATAAACATTAACCAGTAGTCCCAACAGTTTTTTTTTCAGCACCGTGACCTAAGAACACTAGTTTGCATTTGTGTTCTCACGTGTCAGGACACACATTCAAACCAGGCAGACAAGTGTGCACATATCCCACACAGCAGTAAAAGAGATGCGTAGCAGCGCTCTCAAAAGCATTCCCATACAGCTTAGGAAACATTCTCGAGGGACACAGCTGCAACTGTTTGCTTAAACACAGGCTATGTCCTACACCAGTGTGTGGAAAAATGACAGAAAAGTTGCATCTGCCTTAATCTGCAACCTTATGAATGTTTCAGGACTGACAATTAATTTATCTTTTTTAATATTTGTGAGCCCTACTGCTCCAATCCCTGCCCTAACCCTACTTCTTGCAAGAAGAGGTCACAGATCACTTGTTCTAAGAGAGACTGAAAAGCCTCGCAGAGAGAACCTCCCTAGGCACAGTTGACAAGAATAGACTGGTGACATTCAGAAGAGAGTAGCCAGAAGTAGCAGCCTTACACCTTACTCCTGAACAGCGGCTTGGCTCCTGGCCCACAATATTCATTGTAGATGAGCTTGAACAGAAACAGGTGAAACAGTGTGATCAAGGAGGCCACGCTGAACCAGAACAGGAAGGGTAAGCCCGGGTATTGCTTGGCCATGTGTTCCTCATGAGCCAGAATAGCTTTTAGATGGAGTGTGTGTCTCAGGTCCTGCAAATGGACCAAATCTGTCGATATATAAAGCAGTGGTGTGATGGGCTGAGTCACCATGACAGGGAACGTATGACCTCGTGCCTCTGAGGTCAACTCCACCGGCTCATTCATACAGCCTGCCTCACACGCATAGAGTCTAACTGGCTTGTCTTGGAATTTCACAGACACATGCAAGAAGGGCTTTCCTTCAGCATCCAGCAGAACAGCGAGGTTAATCAGATCCTTGTTGTAATGGATCCCACGTAAGGAATAGCTGTTATGAAGCACATCTGGGTCAGCCTGAAACTGAAGATGGTTTTCAGTGAACTGCAGACCTCCAAAACTCAGCACCATGCCCTGCATAAGTCCATGGACCCCAGCTGCCACGAGACCCTTACATCCCCGTTTCTGGAGAGTTAGCTTCCACAGGTCCGAGAGCTGCAGGATCTGGGGGACACTGGTCAGCTTTGCTGGCCACAGGTTCTCTGCGTGCATGGTTGCATGGCCACTGAAGCAATGGTCAGCATAGTTCAAGCTGGCTTCCATTTTTTCTCTGTCCTCACTGCTAATGACTGGATCTAGCAGAGGAGCTGGCATGCTGGACAGCATATAGTAGAGGGTCATGTTAACAGTTTCACTCGATGGTGTATGTGAATCTGTGATCTTTCTCATTTCAATGCCTGTAATAAATGACAACAACCAAGAGTCAGAGGACCACACATGAATGACATTAACTAGGAGAAAGAAAGTTCAAATGCGCATGCTACATGATGTTGTTCAATATACAGATGTTCTTTATTATCAAAGAAAACTTCAGTGAAACACCCCCTTGTATTTTTTTGGCTGTTCTTTCTGCTTTGAGACGGAAAGCCAAGCTTGCACTGACGGCAAAGCTACTGTGATATATCTACAGATGCCCTGCAGAGCTGTTACCGTGATTCTGCAAGAATCGTCTGTCAAAGGACCATCTATTTTTTTTTTACCAGCTGTAAAATACCAAGCCCTACATCACTTGGGCAGCTACTCTTTTATGCAGGGCCATGAAAATTTTATGTCAAGAAAAAGCATCCCTGAAGTATCAGCAAGACAATCCCCATCTTCCATGGAGGAGTTTAAAGACAGTCCTTTATCCTGTAACTGGAGGCCAGCTCTATTCCCAACTTAGAGCTGGCTTGCTGGGCATGAAAGCCAGTGCATCCAGAACTGTGATTAGAAACGTCCTTCTATCATTTTATTTATTCAGTAAGGATGACTCTGCTTTTTAAGAACTCTACATTCCAAAGTTGGAACACTGTTTTCTTATCCCACAGCATCTCTTCTGGCTCCTGAAAGAAACCTGTCAAAAAGAATGGGGCCTCTAGCAACCTTACAGGAACCAGGTCACTGAGCTTTCTGCTCTCACCCACAGTAATTGTTTGGAAGTTGAGCATCGCTTTCCTTACCTGAAATGAACAGGTCTGACCAGGTCTGCTGATGCTCCTGGAAAAGATCTTCCACCCCCATCTGCATCACCTCCAGCATCTCTTTCTTGGCTGACTCCCTCAACTTGCTGAAGGTCTCCTCCAGCCTGGAGACGTCGATGGGCTCGGAGGTGTACACCACGGAGAGCACAGTTTCATCAAAGTGGGATTTGGGTGCCACCTGCACCCGGCTCACGAGCTTCTTAGCAGCCACCACCATGAGAACCACCCTGGAGCTCCCGGTCAGCAGCAGGCGACCGGAGGAGAGCAAGAACTGCCGCTCCTCCACCTTCTCCACGGTGGTAGCAAACCGGCTGCCCAAGGCGGGCGTGGAAGCCGGGCCCGACGCCTCGAAGCTGACCACCCTGTCGCTGGGGTTGGCGATGCGGATGCGCTGCAGGTAGAGGTGCGGCCGGCTGCGGTGAGCCACCACCTCCTCCCGCACCGTCACGCACTCCCCGGGACCACCGCTCGGCCCGGGGCCCGTCTGCACGCAGCGCACCCTCCGCACGGCGCCGTCCCGCAGCGCCGCCTGCGCCGCCCGAGCTTCGCCTCGACCCCCCAGCGCTCGGAGCCTCACCAGCGCCGGGTACTCGGTGGGCAGCGCCGGGCCGCCGCCGTTACCCGCCTGCCCACACCCAGAGGCGCCCGGCGGCCACGTCCAGCAGCAGGAAGCCGTTCCCGGCCAGCGCCAGGCCCGCTTTCGGCCCTCCGCCTTCCTCGTTGTCCTCTTCCTCCTCCTCCTCCCCGCCGGCCGGCAGCGGCAGCGCATCGCCGCGCTCCGCCTGGCCCCGCCAGGCCCCCGTGGCCGCCTGCAGGCAGAGGGCGGCGGCTCCCCGGGGCTCGGCCCCTCGCCGCCCGCCGCGCCGCGCCCCCAGGTACCAGAAGGCGACGAGGAGGAGCAGCAGCAGCAGCAGCAGCCGCCTCGCCCAGCTGCTCGACAGCAGCCCCGGCAACCCCTTCAGCCGCTGCTGCAGCCACATGGGCGGCGGGGCGGGGAGGCCCGGCCCGGTCCGGACCCCTCCCCTCGCAGCGCTCCCCGGCCCCGCTCCCCGCCGCCTCGCAGCGCCCCTCAGGCCGCCATCGCCCGGAAGCTCCGCGCCGAGCGGCGCTTTGCGACAGCGGAGCCGCGCCTCCCGCCTCCACCCCCTCACGGGAGGCGCTTGGCCGCCACCCTGCCCCCCCCCTCCTGTGTTCTGTGAGGGGAAAATGGCCCCGTCCTGCCCCAAAGACCCCCCCCAAGTGGCTTTTCTGACAGGAAAAGCTTGGCGTTTTCCCTCGTTTCAGGGAATAATTGGTCGCGTTCCCGCAGCACGGCCTGATTTGGGAAAATCGGTCCCTCCGACGTGCGCCCCGCTGCGTAGTGAGCAGCAGGGCGAGCTCTGTGGCAGGGCCAGGGTGTGCGCGTCGCGCCAAGGAAAACTTTGCGCTGCGGGCCGCTCGCAAAAAACAGTAGCAAACCCCACGGAAAGCCTGTGGGTTAGGATGAAGTGTGAAATTCCTGCCCAGCCAGAGCCAGGGAGGCAGCTCAGGGAACAGGAGCAGACAAGAGGCTTTCCTGACTTCGTCCTGCTAAGGAGACGTTTGATTTTTTAAGGCTTTTTGATTGTTTGATTGGTTTTGGAGGGACATTAGACTCAAAAGGGTGAGATCTTGGCTCTCACACACTTCAGTGGTACCAGTGTTTTCCCCAGAAGGTGGGGTGTGTACCGAGGCTGCCTCACTGAGCTCTGCCCCGTTCAGTTTTTAGGAAGTTGCAGCCCCGCTCGGAGCACGTGTTGCACGTACTCAGAGGCACATCTGCACTGGCAGCTGCCTCTGGTTAAAAAGACAGGCAGCCGACTCCAGCCAGAGCGCACAAAGCAGCATAAACAGGAAAAAAAAATCTGCTCGCTGGGTTGGCATAGCTACAGAACGCAAACAGAGCTGTCACATAGGGACGGGCTGAGTGTGGCACTATGAACAATGATGCATTCATGACTTCTAGTGTGCAAAACTGCTCTCATTTTATAGTGGAGAGATTTAACACCCTTAAAATGGGAAACTTAGCGTTTCTAAAACTCTAGACTGAGTCGCAGACCTTGGTCTGTGCCTTGAAGATGAGGGGATGCCTTTACTGAGGCTCCCAGCTCAAATTGTAGAGGCTGCTAACGATGTAGCAAGGGCTTTTTCAGGGCTTCCAAAGTACAGAAGAAATCTAAAGTGAAAGGTTTTTTTTTGTTTGTTTGTTTGTTTGTTTGTTTGTTCATTTGGTGAAACAGGCAGCATTGAAAAAGGAAGTTTCCTGAAGTCACCATCTTAGGGACAACTAACATTTCCTTGGAGTGTTGCCTGCAGTATGTCATTTGAGCATGAGGACTGTTCTGTTTGCCTGGTAATTATGAGGGAATTCCTGCTTTGGAAGGAGGGAGTGGAAACAAGAATGCTTTGAAAAGAATCAAGAGTATTCTCAGAGAACAAATTAATAAGAAGGGTTGTTCTTTGAGAGGATGCTGTTATGAAACATGGAGAACATTAGCTACATTGTGGTCCTTCTAGCAGGTGCTTTTTTTTTTTTTTTTTTTTCCAGGATTCTACCTTCTTGTGCTTATTCTGAAATTTTGAATCCAGTAATATGTGTGCTTTCTGTTCATTTTAGTTAGGGAAACTTGCATATTATCCCAATCCTCTTATGTTTCCATAGGTGTGTACCTGGCTGCATATTCCATAGCCCCAGGGCTATGTATTGCATTTATTTTCTATCTCAATTTGTTCACCAACTGTCAGCATGCATCCTTCGCTTTTTATACCTCTGCTAAACCACCTACCACTGGTGCGTTCTCCCCAACACCTTACTTTTCTATTGTAACTTTTTTTTTTTTTTTTTTTGATACATGGGCCAACCTTGAGTATGGCTGAGTCAGTACATCTCCTGTGATGGCTTCAATAATATACCGCAACCTGTCACTTTCCATCTACTTAATATCAACTAAATATTATTGATCGCACACTACAAGATAGAAAATAAGTAATCTCTTAATGTTTCTTTCCGTAATGGAAGCAAAATTGGTTTTATTTGAATACAGTGCCTAAAAGAAGGGCTCTGTCATTTCTAGGCATTTGCTTCAGTAGAAAAAATGTGTTGCTTGAGGCCTCACGTAACGTGTGTGTCAGCGGTAGCTCCTTGTTAGTTGTTCTTCAGGCTCTAATGTTTCCCTGCATCTGAGTCATAAATTCATTGCAATATAAAAATGACCTTGAAACCAATTAAAAGACTGTAATTTTATAAACTATGTTTATTTTGTCCTCAAAGTTAGGCAAAATAAGCTAGAAAAAGAATCGTCATGCTAGTGCAAGAAAACCCAGCACAAGAACAGAGTTAAATGTAAGGCAGTAAGAAGCACATGTAGCTGGAAAAAACAGCATAGGAAAGTACTGCAGCAGATTTTGTATTCCAGAAGGAAAAGTATGAGATGAGAGGACAGGTGAAAAGACGGTATTTAGTAAGAGTATTTAGTATCCAGAGTAAGTTGTTTAGTATCAAAGTACGGTATTTAGTATCGGGAGCTGTGCATAATCCATTTCTCTTGTGCCTTTTTCCCACTTAATGACTGTGTCAAGCAGATGCAGCCTGGCACTAACTGAAGCTGGCCAGAAAGGAGGGAATCAGCCCCGCTCCGACAGAGGTTCACGCTTTATTATCGTGTGCTGCTGTTTCTGCTGCCCCCAGCGCCCTGCGCACCCCGCCCGCAGCAGGACTTGCCGGGCCCCGCAGCCCAGGTAAAGTTGCTGTAGCCAGAGGATCCTCCCCTCTCTCAACGCCTGCAAAAAGCAGATGTTCCCTTGCTTTTTGCTCAAGCCCCGGCCCCAGCGCTTCCTGCTCCCTCTCCCGGCTCCGGGCCAGCTGCCTCCCCGCCTCTTGCGGGGGCCGGAGCCGGGGCGGCCCGGGAGGAGGAGCTGCCGCCTCCCCTCTTCCTCCGCCCGTCCCCGCCGGGCGGGTCTGGTGCGTGGCACAGGCTCCAGCAGCCCCGGAGCTTTCTAGAGCCGCTCTCTGCCGGGTCCTTGCGAAGCGGGGCAGCGCCCGGGGCCGTCCCGCAGGCAGCGTCCCGGTCGGTGTCGGCTCCCGGACCGGGATCCAAGCGGGGAAGTCGCCTCCATGGTGCCCCCGGCGGTGCTGCTGCCCTGGGTGGTGCTGGCGCTGCTCGGGGTGGAGGGTGGCAGTGCCTCCAAGCAGGAAGGTAAGGACTGCTCCGGGACGCTGGGTAGGGGACCGATTTCATGGGGAGCTGGTGGCCGGGCTAATGGTGGGGCACCTCTGCAGTTAGTGCTCTTACTGCTCTTAGTTCTCCAGTCAAGCTCAGAGGCATTGCCCGACCTGGGACCGGTGCCCACTGCAGAGTCTGAGCTGCTGGTTGGCATCCAGAGCCTGCTGCTGAGCTCGGAGGCAGGGCAAAGACTGGTGTGGGTGCTCTCCGCACATGCTTCTGAAGTGCCACAGTTACCAGACAGGCACACGCCACTCAGTTGTGTGAGAAGAGCCTTGGACAACATTTCGTGCTGGTAAAGTCCCTTGGGCTGCATCCCACCAGGGACAGCCCTTCCTGCTTTTGAACTTAGGCAGTTCAAGAACTAGGTAAAAGAGAACTTTTGATCCGTAGCCTGGCCATGCTGTTACCTGAGATCCAAAATGCTCCTCAACCAACATCGTTTTATCCTCACATGTACAGTTGGTACATGCTGCGAACAGTAATTGGTAGAACAGTGGAGGATTAGGGAAGCTATTGAACGTCAACCAGGCTGACAAAGAGGTTCACACACTGTCACTCTGCCAAGATGTTTGGATAATTATCTTTGTCTTCATTAGGGAAGTGGCAATGAAGAAGAAAGCTCATCTTGTTATCTAGAATATTTCCCTTGACACTGAGTGATTCTGTTTTAATTACTTTCACTATGTATATTACTTAATAAAGTTAACATGTATCCCTAGGAGCGTTGGAAGGGGAGTTATTTAGCTATACTGGTGTTGCTAAAGCAGTGTCATTTCCGCATTTAGGATTCCTATTAGATAAATACAAGTAAGAAATGAGTCTCAGTGTCATCCTGCCTTACACACCCCAAATCATCTATGCTTTCAGCAAATTTTTAGAGCACACTAGAGATATAAAATGGGGTGTTCGGGATAGACAATCAGGTATGTTTAAGAAGAGGATATTGGAATTAACTGTTTTCTGAACCTGTCACTTCTATCATGGCTCAGAAAAAATGCCCTGCCATATCTGTGCATCTGCTTCCCAAGAGTAATATGAGAATAATGATACCCATCTTCTTCTTTATAAGTTCTTTTAAATTTCTTCAGAAGCTTTAAGCATAGTTACATGCAATTTTTAATTGAGTTGTTACCTAAAAACTTGGGTAAATGTAAATTTAATTGCACTGGAATTGTGCACTTGATTTTTCTATTTGATCCCAATAGTAGTGGTATTTTCTTGGACACTAACTTAACAGGAAGCTACACAATAAGATTTCCCAAAGCATAGCCTGGGGATAAATTCATTCCATGTCCTAAAATGCAGCTGCAGCTGTGCTTTTCCTGTTGAGTCAGGACAGAAGTAAATAACTCTGAAATTTGTTGTTAGTGAACTCATCACTGATTTTTACTAACCTCCCTGTAAAAACTCAGAAGTCTACCCAATCTGTGATGTTGATATCAAAGTTCCTGACCTAGTACTTTGTCTCTACAGAAACCTTGTCATTGCTAGCGCTCAAAGAACTTCACAGAACTGTTAAATGCCCCTTGCTATCTTTTTACGGATGTCAGTGCAGAGGGATTGCAAGATTGGCTCCTTGTTGCAGAGCAGAGCTAACAGTACAGTTCAGCTCCTCTGGTTGCTAGTCCAGCACTTGCTTCATTGAGCCACGCTGTGCTTGTGTTTTGCAGTCATACCATTATTAAATGTATTTCTAACATTTCTAGTTGTCAGCACAGCCCAAGGAGTCTTTGAGTCCAGCTTAACAATATAGGCTCCTGTTTCTAGATATGAAAAGTAAGTGTTATTTGGAAAATAGGAAAGGATAAATCTGCTTTTGGAGGTTTAAAAACCTCCACGCCATCCATGTGATACTGAAATTAAAGGGTCTTACTGCTCCATTTCTGGAAATACCTATCAGCTGCACCAGGAAAATCACTGAGAAAGAGAAAAAAGGGTTAAAGGAGTAGGAGCGGAGGCAGCATAGCTCAGCACAGTGCTTCAAATACTGGGCTGAAGGAATGTCTCTTGGGATGGAAAACTCTTGCTACTGCAGAGATTTCTCAGAACAGAAACTGAGCTTATGCGTCTTGGAGTCCTACCCCCGCAGACCAGTAAGGAGAAGGGAATCTGTAACTAGGAATTCAGCTGCAGAGGACAGAAGTCTGTGTGCTGGCAGTTCCCTGCTCCAGTGGGCTCACATGCTACACAGTCAAACCTTTTCTGCCTTAGAAATCTGACACCGCTTCCTGTTCATCCACTAGAGCTTTTTGCTCTCTCATCTGGTCCAGCAAACTTTTGGCAATTGTATCAAAGGACGTATAAACAGATTGTTGCTTTCTTGGAGTGGTGGCACAAAAATGATTTATTGATTTATCTGATTAGAGATACCTGAGCATTCAGGCTGTAATAATTACATTGCAGTCAGGCTCTTTTCTTTTGTCCTCAGGATATGTTTTCTCTTCTCCTTTCAGGTACCAGAATTTGATGTTTATCTTTACATTCCTTGCTGGCAAGCCTGCATTTGCCCCCCTCTTCATTGGCAGTATCATCTCCAGTTTCTCAGAAACCAACAGCTCAGAGCTATCTAGTAATGCTGCCATGGTTTTCTGCATGCCATCATATGGCTGGAAACATTAATGGCTTTAACATATTCCCCAAGGAAATGCATATTTTACTCATTTTTCTACACCCTCAGACTAGACAGGGCACAGGGAACTGGAGTGTGCTGAAGGAGCTGAATTAGGAATGCACCTCATACAGCATAATTCTGCCTTTAAAGGTTGCACTTATGCAGAATTCATATTCCTTTGTTTGTCACTCTCTTTGTCTGTCCATTTGCATAAATGTCTAACGAAATGCAATTAAAGCTGACCTTATATAGACTGTTGTCAGTGTCTCCAGTCTGTGTTCTGGTGCAGATTTCCTTGGGAGCATCCTTCTTCCTAACTTAACCTTGTTTTTTACTTCTGCTATCTTTGTCAGGTCTGTCTAGGACCCCAGCTCTTAGGTCCTTCCTCTCTAAGGTCAGATGATGTCAGCTTGGGTACACTGGGAAGATTCAATCTGGTATATCCATTGAAAAAAATCACTGTTCCAAGAGAAGTCTACTCCAGCCAAGAAAGCATCCTTTCAGGTTTTCCTGGTATTTTCTGATGTTAAAATCAGATGGTCAGGATTCACATTTAAACACTGTTGCCAGAGCCTATACAAATTCCTATATAAGTAGAAGTATTAATATGAAGTATAGCATTTAACACTACAGTGAAGAAGCCAGGGCCTCCACATAAAAATCTTATTCCAGTGATAGTCTAGAGAAACTTTTGAAAGAGAACTTCAGGATTTAGCTTTGCCATTTCTAAGGGACTGAAAATGAAAAGCAGTTTAGGAGAATGTAAATGAAAGTGATGGTTTTCCCTACACCCAGTCAATGCTGAATGACAGAAAAGCAACTCTTTGGGGAACAGAACTCCAGTTGCATTAAATTGGCAACTTCCAAGTGCGCATTTTGTAGTAGTTCTATTTTTCATCTTCAAGTTTAATTTCCTTCAAACTGTCTGTGAGAGAAGAGAATGGTAGCTTTCAATAGCAGGGCAAGAAAAATAACACTCAGTAAATTGTATTTTCTTTTTTCAGCTTATAACTCAGGCAATTAAATTGTATCTTTTTACAGTCTACCATTTTATACCCCAGACCAAGTTCTAATCTCAGCTGCGCAAAGGCAAAGGAACAGTTTTGCTTGCACTGCAGCTAGTTTGGGGTTGTTCAATCAAATGCTGACATTTCTGGGCACCTTTGCCATGTTCTGTCCCCTACAACAGTTTGTTCCTCCAGTAAAACAATAGCTATGTCCATGCTTTCTTTTTTTTTTTTTTTTTTTTCTCTCTGTGAGTCTCTGAGGAGTTGCTGCCAAGAAAATCCAGGTAGAAAATAAGCAGGGTTTGAAGCTGGTTTTCTTTCTGACAAACACCTATAGTGCTTAACATCGTACAGGGTAGAGATAATTGGGTGAGGTGTAAGCAAGCTGTTTGCTTCTCAGCAGGATATGGTAACTCCACAGCTAGACTACCTCCCGTGCCTGTTTTAAAATGAAACTGGACAGCTGTCCATGTTACATGCAGCAGTCATAACCTGTGTCCATCAACAGCAGTGACTGAGCGTAAATTGGGACTCCTGGATTCTATTGCTGGATTCATGACCAACTAAGAGCATGATACTGACAAAGTCCAGGGGTTGGATTTTATTCCTAATGACTTTACTTTGTCAAATCTGTCAAATACTTTTAAGATGAATGATCCCTACCTTGGTTCAGTGTCTTGAGAGTAAAGCCTCTTCGTTAATTGTGGAACAGCAGAGTTTGCAACAAGGCAAGTTGATCATGTGTCTCTTGTGTTTTCTCCTGTTTGTAGAAAACCTGCTGGTTCTTACTGTTGCCACCAAGCAGACTGAGGGATTCCGACGCTTTAGAAGATCAGCCCAATTCTTCAACTACAAAGTTCAGGTGATGACTACCAGCCTCAGTGATGGTTGGTCAAAGGGAGTTTTGAAATGCGCGCTCCTAAGAGTACAGAATAGATAAGACTCGGCCACAGAATGATTAAACAGAATCTCAAGGGAGGACATGCCCGTTCAGACAGCTGAAAAATGCTGTGACTGAGGGCATTTCTGCAGCAGTCTTTCTTATTCCATCCCAAGTGGTGTCTTGAGATGAGTTCCATAACTCCTGCTCAGGGGAGTCCCATGGCATTTTTCCGATACATTGCTGAAATATACAGTACAGATTAGGATGCTGCAGTCCCTGATGCTGAAAGTACTTTGTTACTGTGCTCTGACTGTCCGTCCCAGAGAGCGGCTTGAAGGCTGGCATATATGAGTAGTCTCCCAGTCTAGATACTCTTTGATTTGCACTGGGAGTTAACAGGGGTAGTGAGGCTGTGCGTTCTGGTTCTTTCCTGTGAGACTTGCTGGGAAAATGATCTGTTCAGTAGACCCTCTGCCTGTCATCTTTTAGGTACTTGGACTTGATGAGGAATGGAAGGGTGGAGATGACAAGAAGCCAGCTGGAGGTGGGCAGAAGGTCCGTCTCTTGAAGAAAGCATTGAAGCAATATGCAGATGATGCAGACTTGATCATCCTTTTCATAGAAAGGTAATGGATTGGAAAGGATTTGTCATGGACTGAATCAGAAAGTTGTTTGGACAGATTCTTATTAAGAAGAAATTAACTGTGAGATGGATTCCTTCTGGGAGGTGTGTACAGACCTGTGTTTTTTCCCCCTGAATTCCTTGCAGTAACTTGAGAGTTGCTCAGAGCTGCATCCGTGGCAGTTGGGAAGCTCTGACCAGAATGGGCTAATTCCAGCTCTTATATAATACAAAAGTTGATAGCGTTGTACCTGTTTTTGCCAGGCTGGAATTTGGCTGCTGCTATCTCCAGAGAATGAGCAGGCAATTTCTGTGGACCCAGGCAGGCCTTCCTTAGTGGAATTATTTTTTCATAAGGTGAGGCAGGCAGCAACACAATTCTGAGAGCCAAGAAATAGTCTGCCAGAAATATATGGAGAGGGAGAAGGATGGTTCCGAGTCTCAGTGTCTTTTCCTGTGCCCAGCAACAGGCAGGGCTGGGATACCGGTATTGTCTCTAGCTCTCATGGCAGGGAGATCTTCTTTTGCAGCTCTGAGTGTCTACGTGCATTTAGAGGTTGGGAATGATTCATCTCTGGAATGAACAACTTTTTACTCACCACAAGTGGGTCTGTAGTATGCAAATCCTCTTGGAAAAAATGCCAGTCTCATTCTGGGGGTGTTGCTTGGGAATTAGTTCCACCCAATACTGAAGAGGTAGCGGCTGGTATCCTGCATCCAGTGACTATTTTCTAGTATAGATCCCTCATAAAGATTTGCAGAGCTCTATGGAGAGTGGCAGGATGCCAGAACATTTGAACGGCATGACCTATGGGTTTGTTTAGTTTAGAAAGGAGCGTGGGTATAAAGGAATGGCAGAGGAAGTCTTAATGAGTGAGGACACCAGGGCTTCACAGCTGCAAAGCAGGGAAAAGAAGAAAAGATCAGCATGTTTTGCAGCTTGGAAGTTTTGGTTTTACTATCAGTGAAAACTTTGTAGAAGTGAGAATGGACATAAGTTACCCCAAGACATTGTAGAATCTTCTGCAGTGGAAAGTAACATCTTCCACTCCATGAATAAGACTTCACTTTAATTGTCTGTATTTAAGACAAAAAATACTGCAAATAATACTGTGAAGCAGAACTAAAAGAAGGGGATTCCTAATAAATGAGCTGTTTCTATAAGCTTTTTGTGCTGACACATTTTTCTGACTCCATTCCTTCCTGTCCTGTTTTTGTTTGTCTTTTACTCTAGCTATGATGTACTCTTTGCTTCGGGCCCCACAGAACTGTTGAAGAAGTTCAAACAAGCCAAGAGCAAGGTGGTGTTCTCAGCAGAGAACTACATCTATCCTGACAGAAAGCTGGAAGCCAAGTACCCTCAGGTGCGAGATGGAAAGCGCTTCTTGGGTTCTGGAGGTAAGAAGCAGAACCTTCTTTCAGCTGAGAACCACTCTTAGCTTTGTCCTTGTATTATAAGGCCTTTGGGAGAAGTATCAAGGAATCAAGTGTGGAAAGCATCTCTATAGAATATGGTGAGAACTGAAACCCGGGGCAAAACTGTCCATAATGGAAAGAGTAACAGTGCTGCTGTCTTTTACCTGAAGAAGATATAGCTATGAATTACAGCTAAAGGATAGGAGCCCCCTCCCTATCCCTTCTTTTCTGTGAGTCCTATTATTCAGGGAATGAATATCTGAACTTTTCTGTTCAATCTTGGTGTAAGTCCACCTAAGAAGGGTGGTCTATACATGCTTTTACAGAAAGCTGGTGTATCTCTGCTGCACTATAGGATGGAATGAAACTTTTTGTGTGACAAAAAGGGAGAGTATTGTTATACAGGAGTATTTAATGTTTTCTGTTTATCTGGGTTGAAATACCTCTTTGTCCTTATTCCTGCAGGCTTTATAGGTTATGCGCCAAACCTGAAAAAACTTGTAGAGGAGTGGAAAGGACGGGACGATGACAGTGACCAGCTCTTCTACACAAATGTCTTTTTGGATCCAGAAAAAAGAGTACGTGTAGCTAGATTTTGGGATTAGGAAGAGTTGTCTGAGAAGCATCACAGTTAAGCCTTTTCTGTGCAGTATCCCTGTTGACTATAAAAGAAGTTAATCAGATATATTTGGCCCCAGAATTACTGCTCTGGAATTCTTACATGGGTAATAGTGTGTTCTGTTATCTGTTTACCTTGTGAAAGTTTGCATTATAGCAACTACAACTTTGTTCTGTTATTAGCAATTTTATCTTTCAGCTTACAATGTGACTGGGAAGACAGGTGGCTTAAAATAAGCCTTACTGGTAACACATACCGATAGCTCTGTGTGCTGATGTTTAAAGCTATTGAGTGTGGCAGAACTAACCAGCCTTCTCCCAGGGGATGTGAAACCCAAATTTTAAGTGTGTATCTTCCCTGTGCAACTCTCACTTAGAGATATCCAACTTAGCACTAAAGTACATTGTAGGTACAAGTGCAGATAAGGCCTGAGCAGATCTGAGGGGATGAAAAGAACAAAGGTTCCCAGTCTTGCAGCCACTGCTAGAGTAAAAAGAGGCTACCACTGCCTTCAGCAAACACCTCCAGATCCTGACTGACAAAATCTGCATTAGCCTATGCAGCAAGCCACACAACATCACACAGAAGCTTGGAATGGGCCGTGGCTGTATCGCTGCCATTCCAAATTAGCCACGGCTATTTGCCATGGCCAAATCATCCACCCCACAGGGTGACTCTGCTTCTGTTGTGCCTGCCCAGCTCTGCATTAGGCAGTGCAGTCTGTCCTTGAGGGACGTCACAAATGAATGGGGATTAAGAAGTGAAACTGTAACAGTAGAAGTCAGGAGGAATCATGAGAAACAGGAAAGTGCTTTCAGATCAATTAGAGGAGTTGTGCTTTTTTATATCCCCGAATCTGAGTATGGCTCATGACATTTTAACATAAACAGTTCCTTTAACGTTCTCATCTGCAGTTCTGGCCCTATGCCACACAAAGGCTGAGTAATTCTACTAACTTGGCATTCAGACAGTGGATGTTAGCACCCCGCTGTCCTTTCCAGTAATCAATCTTAATAGATGCCTGGAGGGTCACTGGAATCTGTTAAGTCAGAACTGGATTTTAGTCTGACAAAAATCTAGTCCAAGCGTGACTTGTAGCAGGAGATAAAAGCAATGATTGCTCCAGCTGGCCTTACGCCCTTACTATGTTCTGGTTTGACACTGGTACCTGAGCCCTTACCTGGGGTGATACTAGCCCTGTGGACAGGGCTGTACTTCATTAATATGTTGCATATTATAATTGGTACACACAGATCAGTATTTAAAATGTTCATTCATATGGTTTTGCCTAATATAATATGTTGAAATTGTTTTAGAAAATGGTGATTTTTCCCAGATTCAGGTGAAAGTGAGGAAGATCTGGGAGTGTTTCAGGCTTCAGAGCCTGGAGATTGTGTAAATGATTATAGAAATATGATATATCTTTATTCAGCATAGATTCTTTCACATGTGAAGAATGGATGCTTGCTTGTATTCTAATTAAGATTATTTATTTCATTCTTTTAAAGGAAAATATCAACATCAGTCTAGATCATAGAAGCCGGATCTTCCAAAACCTAAATGGAGCATTAGGTGAGATGGCAGAAGGAAGCCAGTTTCTCCTTGGAATGCAACAGCATGCTCACACCAGAAATAAAGTTGCGCTGTGGCTGAAAGGATTAAATTTCAGAAATTCCTGTCCTTGTAGAACGAGCTCCAGCAAAAAGCCTCTGCCAGAGTTCTGGGATTTGTTTGCAATTCCACTGTGACCAACTAGGTTCACATTGCAATTCCCTTTTCACTTGGGGGAATGCAGGTCAGGTTTTCCATCTTACATCTCCTTGCCACTTTGATCTCCAAGCATGTCAGATTGTATTAGCCTTAGGGATTGAAACTGGGAGGCACTTCACTGCAAGTAATAACACATAACACTGCCTAGGGCTTGCCTTGTCTTTCCGCTTCAGAACAGTGTCTGGAATGCCATAGGAGGTGAGATGCAGCCAGACACTGCCTGGAGCATTCGCTGAACCATACCAGGCTTCTGACCAGCTGATTGATTGATTTTGCCAGTCCTTGCTAAATTGATTCACTTACTCCTGATATTAGTGCCTGATGTTTTCAGTCTTGCACCAGTCCATCTTTGTTTCAGTCAGGTAAAAATTGAAAATGGTGATGTAGCTTTTTTGTTCCTATGCTCTTTATAACAATGAAAGACTGGAGCTTGGATCTGTACTACTCTGTTTTCCAAAGGATTATCCAGATCCATGCATTTGTCTTTCAACAATTGTTCAGTAGAAATGGGGCAATGTGCTGCTAATTTGTAGTAGTGGCCTTCCTCTGATAACTTGATGGCAATGTTGTTTCCAGATGAGGTGGTTCTGAAGTTTGAAAACGCACGAGTGAGAGCAAGGAACTTGTTATATGACACTCTGCCTGTGGTGATTCATGGAAATGGACCTACCAAGGTAAAAGGGCATCCTGAGAGAAAGGGTTGATATGCATTTGTTGCAAAGTAATCCTTTAGATTTGAATGTATCAGGTTACTGCCTTCCCCTTTACTGACTTTCCTTGTCTACATTTACACTGAGACGCAATAAGTGGCCCAGGTCCATAGCAGCAAGGTGGCTCTGGTTCAAAGATGAGCGTGTAGTTAGACCCTCAGACTGTAGGGTCTAACTAATACAATACATACATGTAAATACAGATTTATTAGTCCAAGGAGAACATAAATGAAGTACTGTTGAAATGTGATCTTACACTGGGGAGTGATAGAGGCAAAGATAGTCCTCTGCCCTATAATGTATAACGTGGCAAGTTCCCTTTTGCAGCTGCAGCTGAACTACCTGGGAAACTACATTCCTCAAATATGGACATTTGAGACTGGCTGCACTGTGTGTGACGAAGGTCTGCGAAGCCTAACAGGTATTAAGGTAAGGCTAATGTCTATTCCAAGCTCTCAAGACAAGTGTTAAAGTTACCATGGGATCTTAGGTGTCTGATGAGCTACTGCTTCTCTTCTCATTGAATGTAGGATGAGGCACTGCCAATGATTCTGATTGGCATTTTCATTGAGCAACCCACTCCGTTCCTCTCCCAGTTTTTCTCACGGCTTCGTAAACTTCATTACCCAAAGCAACGAATCCAACTCTTCATTCACAATCATGTAAGTAAAGTTGGCCTGGGATGGTCTGCTGGGAAAATGTATACCTCTTCCTGTACTCTAATTGCCTTTGGCAGTCTACTCAAAGGTTGCAGGCTTTATAATCCCAGTACTCATCTGCAATGGGACCTATACAACAGCTGCATTCAGCTGTAAAGCTGTGGAAGTGGCAAGAGCTGTTGCTTGTGTGGTTTTGGCATTCTCAAGAACAGGAGGCTGAGCGGCCTGGGATGAATTCAGCTCACCTGTTTCTCCTTATTTTTCCTCTGGCATAGGAGGAACATCACTCAATGCAGGTGGACTCTTTTGTTGAGGAGCATGGCAAAGAATATCTCGCCATCAAAGTGATCGGACCAGATGATGAGATGGAGAATGCTGAGGCGCGTAACTTGGGCATGTAAGTGAAGAGGCCAGACATGATGGCTAGCAGAGTCAGCCTGTGTCCAACCTAAGGCAGTCTTTTCTTTTTTTTCTGATGATCATCACGGTCAAGTGGATTTTTTTTCCTTTCAGTCACTCTCAATTTTCCTAATGTTAATTCTCCATGCCCATTATACATTGGGGAAAAAATCAGTCCTATTCCTTCAATTTCAGAAACCAAATTCTCACTGATTGTTTGCTCCATTAGGATAATAGCCCTCTACCTCCCACCCTCAATAGCCTGTATGCCCAGTCCTACATCACAAAGAATGTGCATCCATATTTCCAAAGCAAAAGAGTGTAGTAAAGCTGAGAGTTAGTGGCAGAATATCCTGTTATCTGTGATCAGAAGGTGTGAGTTTGAGCTCAGGTCTGGAATTGAGCCAGCTGTAAGTGGGAACCTGCTCAGTCTGTGTTGAGGGAACAGTTTGCTACATGTGATACACACATCTCAGCATGTGCTGTTGGCTGCTGAAACTGATGTGCTTTACTCAGCTAGCCCTGTGGATTGTTACAGTAAATTAACTTTTCTAACACTCAGCGGAAGACTCTTAGACTATTAGGTGAGAGAATTCAACCTTGTGTAGTGAAAGATGACCTTGTCCATGGCAGGCTGGTTGGAATTAGATGATCTAAGGTCCCTTCCAATCCAAACAATTCTATGATTCTATGAATTCCTGCCGTTCTGTCCCTTGTCTAACTGTTCTAGGAGGATTTTGATGTGACTTTTCTTGTTCTCTGGCTATAGGGATTTGTGCAGAAAGGATCCTGACTGTGACTATTATTTTAGCCTGGATGCTGAAATAGTTCTGAAGAACACAGAGACTCTAAGGATCCTAATTGAACAGAATAAGTAAGTTCTCGGGGCTGAGCAGTCATTACTGGCCATCTTTCACACAGGGAATATAGTGAGCTCTTTTATCAATGAGATAAGTAAGGCAGTAGCTGGACTGTGTTGGGGGTGGAATGTTACATGAATGCCTCTTATTTGGTCCCATTTTACTGTAGTTGGAATCCCTGAATTTTAGGCAATGGATGTAAATCATCCATAATTTTGCCTTTATATAGTCACTAGAAGAAATTGGATTCTAAGAGACCTGCTTCTGGATGCAGTTAGGGATGAGATTGTAACCACATTTGCCCTTAAATATGTGGAATTTTATTTCAACATAGTTAATGGAAGCAGCAAGGGATAGAGAATCTGCCTCTTATGATTGCCTGGTTTGTAAATCTTTCCCTTTACTTCCTGTGGTAACATCCCTTTTCTTTTATGCTCACAGGCTGGTGATTGCCCCACTGGTAAGTCGACATGAGAAGCTGTGGTCAAATTTCTGGGGAGCACTGAGCCCTGATGGATACTATGCCCGCTCAGAAGATTATGTGGATATTGTTCAAAGGCGGAGGGTGTGAGTATACAGGAGAGTTTCTTATTGATGCAATCCCTCAAATACAAAGCTGTCTGCTGCACATTATCATCAAAGCAGCTAATGTCTAAGAACCAGAGCGTGCAGTTGTCTTTGGGTATAGAAAAGGCAAACAAGTCTGTTCTCATAGTTGGAAGTTACTCTATGTTCTTCCCTGAGCAGAGACTATAATGCACTTCAGGCACTTTATTGTGATCAGAGTAAGGTGTTGAGAGTCCCAACTATGCTGAAATCACTTCATCTTAGTCGTGTCATGTTTTCCCATGAATTATAGTTAGTGTGATCCATGAAATCCCATAAGGAGCTGTGTAATCTTTATCTGATAGTCTTCATAAAACACCAGGTGACCATGGAATGGAATACTCACAAAATATAATTGTTGGTTTATTCATATTCTTGAGTGGCCTTTCTGGGGGGCAGTAAATGCTGGAAATCAGCTTATGCCCTTTTGGCTGGTTCATTTTTTTTAAATCAGTAGAAAAAAAAAAAAAGCTGATCTCTCTGGGAAGAGATTCAAGCCATTAACTGCGTCCCTAGCAGAAGTACACAATATCAGTTAATTGCTTTCACAGTGCCCTGGCATTTGTATTCCTTCTCTGGGCAATATAAATGATTTTTCCTGGAATGACAATTCCTGCTGGTATGGTTTCTCCTTACTGTTCTGAGTTGGCTCATTTAAGAAAAGCCTGGCTGATAGAGCAGTGCTGCCTGCCATCCCACCAAGTCTAGCATTTTCTGTACTACTGCTATTTCAAGTCTTACTCTTCTACCCCTGTGTTTCAGTGGGCTTTGGAATGTTCCCTACATCAGCAGTGTTTACATGGTTAAAGCTAGCACTCTGCGATCAGAGCTTGACCAGGGAGATCTCTTCCACAGTGGCAAGCTGGATGCTGACATGGCTTTCTGCCACAACGTCCGGAATCAGGTCAGTTGAGCAGAGAGAGGCTGGCAGGGGAGAACTGCATGCCAGCGTGGAGGTGACAAGATTAAGTGGTTTCAAGGCATTCAGCTCTGTCGGAGTATCGGTCAGGATGAATTGGCATCACTCAATCCTGTGCAGGCTTGGAACAGTGTAGGATTTCTGTCTTGCTGTGAAACCACCCAGAGCCAGGGACCGATAAATGGAGATAACATATTTGTTCTTGGGCCTATTCAGGGCTGTTCTAAAAGGGTACAACTGGGTAAGAAGGAAGAACCTAATCTTACAGCAGCTGTTCTGTTCTGTTTCCAACCTCAGCTGATGATAGGCACAGAATTACTGGCTCTTGCTATAACTTCAAAATTTCTGATATCCAGGGTAGAAATTAAAGTAAAAGCCCACAGGAGAAAGAATGAATAGATGAACCATTTGGGAAGGGCCATAATCACTGGAAAGCTGTCTAGTGCTTTTATTTCACAGTTGCTCACAGAAATATGAGGCCTGGAAACAAAGCTTGATCATTTCTTTCTGTTCTGCAGGGAGTCTTTATGTACTTGACAAATCGACATCAGTTCGGACACATACTGTCCCTGGAGAATTATCAAACAGATCACCTCCACAATGACCTCTGGCAAATATTCAGCAACCCTGAGGTGAGATAACCTACATGCTCTGCAGGCTATGTGGGATGTGAAGCTTTGATGACCAATTTCGCCAATAAGGAAGGTCCAGGCTCTGTTATACAGTATCTCTCAGCTGGGATCAGGAATTTAGCCACAGAATATAAAGAGAGGCTGTTTGATTCATAGCATTTGGATTTTCAAAACATGTGAAATACTGCTGTACCCTTGCTTTTCATTGCATCTCTAACTAGACCCTGCAGAAATGACTGGTTTGCTTATCTTTTAATTGCAGGACTGGAGAGAAAAGTACATCCATGAAAACTATACAGCAGCTCTGAAAGGGAAATTGGTAGAAATGGTAAGAAAACATTGCTTTTATCCATCAAAATGGGATATTAGCATCAGGATAACACTTGTATTACCACTGTTGTCATTCTCAGGAACAAGCAGTTCAGCAAGACCTTGCAGTCTTTCAAATGACATGGACACATGACCTTGAAAGTATTTTTAGAGCAAAATTGTTATTCTAGAAGTACATCTCTAGCTCTCCTAACTGGAAGTAGGGCACACAAATCAGAAGACAAACTTCTATCCTTGATATTTTAGTTACTTTCCACTTAATCTGACCCTATCCACAGTCAGTTTAGTCTCATTCCTTTTGCCTCAAGCACCTGTCCTTGTTTTTCTGCTGTTCTCACCTGTCCACATTCTGCAGCCCTGCCCAGATGTTTACTGGTTCCCTATATTCACTGACACTGCCTGTGATGAGCTGGTGGAAGAAATGGAACATTATGGCAAGTGGTCCACAGGTGACAATACGGTAAGAAAAAGCAAGAGCTCTTTGATTTCTAGGTGACACCATTTTCCATGTATACTTGGTGACAATAGTGCCTCGTTTAGAAAGACATTAGGACCTGCAGTTAAGGCAGGAAACTGGATGCAACACTCTTATTTTCCTCCTGATTTACTCCATGATTTTGCCCATGTTCTTAAATGTAAATTAATTTTTCTGAGTCCTTTACTATCTGCTGAAGCTATCTGCCCTTTTGATGGTAATGCTGTTTACCTTGGGGTTTATTTGTTGTTTGACATAAGGTTTCCATCCTGAAAATCCTGATAAATAAACCTCATATGTAATTACCAGAAACAAGTGCTTTTCATTCTTGGAAGTCCAAGGTGCCCATCCTCATGGGTATTTTCATGATTCATTTTCAGGACAGTAGAATACAAGGAGGCTATGAAAATGTCCCAACTATTGATATCCACATGAACCAAATAGGCTTTGAAAGAGAATGGTACAAGTTCCTTCTGGACTATATTGCACCCATCACAGAGAAACTGTACCCAGGATACTATACCAAGGTAGGTATACCTTGGCATGGAAACACACAGTCGACTCAACATCTGCTACAGTCACAACTGTGTGAAAAGACTACTAGAATCCTTTGGCAATATGGATACTGTTTCCCAGTATGGAGAACTGATCCTGGAGTGTGACTTGAGTATATGTATCAGGAAATACACAATTTCCCAATAACTTTCTCCTGCCTTATTGTTGTCTTTCCCTCTTAGCAGTGAGATGCAATTTAAAAATGGCAACCTGTCCTGCAGCTCAGCAGCCATGGACTGCTATAGCCCTGTACCTGATGTGCACCGTGTTCTTCTCTCTTGCAGACTCAGTTTGAGCTAGCCTTTGTAGTCCGCTACAAACCTGATGAGCAGCCCTCCCTAATGCCCCATCACGACGCTTCCACCTTTACCATTAACATTGCTCTGAACCGAGTTGGAATAGACTATGAGGTAAGTGTTGGCCAGTGGGGCAGGAATGAAGTACAGGCTCTCAGGCAATCCAGGCAGCTGAAAACACTTTCCTTATCCATATCTGGCTTCTCCACACTAAAAATTGCAATTAATGACTAGGTTAGGTTAGAAGATTTTTGAGAACATCACAACCATTAGATTCCCCAACCACTTTTTCACACTTTTAGAAGCATTGCCAAGAGAAGGCAATAGACCCATTCCCTGAGGTGCTGATGTGTTTCTTGGTCTGTTTCTCTCAGGGAGGAGGCTGTCGGTTCCTGCGCTACAACTGCTCAATTCGAGCTCCACGGAAAGGGTGGACCCTTATGCATCCAGGACGCCTGACCCACTATCATGAAGGTCTTCCAACCACCAAAGGAACCCGTTATATCGCAGTGTCCTTTCTTGACCCCTAGAGCCATGCTTCCAAGGAAGGACCCTTCCCTGGCCCCGCTCACTGCTGACTTTGAGTGGAAACAGGGAACGCTGCTGAGAGTCTCTAAGGCATTGATCAAAGCTATGTGGATATTGATTTTTAATGATATTTTAAGACTCCACTACTGGAAGATCTCCCTCTCTGATACTGCAGGCAATATCTAGGAATGTTGCTGTAGAATTGGAAGATTTTGTGCCTTCATTTCTGATTCTGGTCCTCATCCGCTGTTTCTTGGAAATGCGATTTACTTGAACCTTCACTGCTTGGTTAGTTTTACAGAAATGCTTTCTTGGACTGGAAATCCAGCTTTTTGGAGGCAAGTCACAAGCTCTCTCTCTCCAAGTAGTTGGAAGCCCTTTTCTATCTACAGCATATACAGGACTGGACATTGGAATAGCATCCAGAAATGATTTTCTAAACATAAACAATCAGGGAGCTGGCTCCAAGAGTCAAAACAGTTAAATGTCATACCAGATGAAACTCAGTAGTAAGAGCCTGAAGATCATCTGATTCCTTACCTCTTTGCAGTCTTGGGAAACGTATCACAAAGTTCAAAGCAGCAGCAGTGACAATATAGGTGCTTCCTGTTAGCTAAAGGAAGGTCCGCTAATGATTCTTTACCTCTGGGATTAGTCTGAAGACATAAAAAATAGCCTCCTTATCTTGTATTACTGCAGTTTAAAGGGAGCGTGTATATCCAGACAAATTCAGAACATGTCAATATGTGCAGATTAAATATAAGAAAGGGAAGGCTGGCAACAACTAGATCAGCGAGGAGGGCTTCATTGCTGAATTAGCTAAGCTCTATCGCATGTTAAGATTTTCAAGAGCTCTTAATCATGGGGTAACAATCCTGAGGCCTCACTGGTCTTTGATGGCCTCAGTGATTATTTGGATAATTTCCTTTGCATCTAGCTAGAATGGGCCATCACTATAAAAGAACTATTTTCTGGTACTTAGAGGAAATCATTATTCAGTATTTCTATTAATTTGAGATTCCAAACCAAAGTACTCCACCGCAGACACTTCTCCAGTGGGGCTGAGACTGAAAGAAATGAGTGGTTGGAAAGTGCTAAGATAGTGTGGTGAACCAACAGGTGTAAAAATCTGCCTAGGTTAGGTTGTAGGAGCAAATAGGGAAAAACCTTTCTGCTGTTACCTGTGAGATACCTGCTCTGCTTTTTAGACACCTTTATTCTCTCAGTCTGCCAGACTGGAATGTTTCACAAGCAGTAAATTCACATCAGAATTGTCCTTAGAAAAATATTAATCTTCTGTGTGTCCCCAGCCTCTGCTATCTAATTTTCACGTGTAGAGCCTTGTCATCTAGGACGGGACCTACCGATGCAGGCAGGATAGCTTTAGTCATGTACATTTTGGCAGAGAACTCACTCTCTACAGTTTGAGTGGACCTGCAGAAGGTACAAGAGGCCCTTTCCCACAGTTTCCATGGGCTGTTGATGTCTGTTTCTGTGCTACACACTCACACAAGCAGAAGGGAGAAAAAAACGCTGGACAATCACCTTGAAGAGTAAAACGGTCACAATGTGCTGACTGAAATCCATAACAAATGACCCAATGTTGCCAAATAAAGGGACTTTACAGACCAATCATTGAGATGTCGAGTAGGTGTATGTATTTATTTAGCAGAGTTATTTTTTTTCCCCCCACTTATTTTGTCGCGTTTTCCTCTGCCCGGTACTGTGACTGGAACGAATTAGGAGCCTGCGCGCTCTGATGTTTCACACAGGATGTACAATTTCAACCAGGGGAACTCGCATTAAACCATTACAACACGCTGGCGTCTCCCCGTGCTTTTCATTCCCTCAGGGGACGCGGAGCGGGCCCGCCCGCCTGCACCTCAGGCGACGCCCCGAGGTGTGGGGGAGCAGCGCCTCCAGCCTACACCTCCCGTCACGACCCGGGCCAGGGCCCGCCCGTCGCGGCCATGACGCGCGGGGCGCGCCCGGCGGCTGAGGCTGCGCGGGCAAGATGGCGGCCCCGGCCGAGCGGCGGTGAAGGTGAGAGGCGGGGCGGGGCTGCGGGGGGCGCCTCCTGTCAGGGGCCGCTTCCCACCCGCTGCCCCGGCAGCGCTGAGGGGAGGCCGGTGGCGGCCGCCTCAAGGAGCGGAGCCGGGCTGCTCAGGGCTGAGCTTCTCCTCTGCTGCCGCAGGGACGGGCTGGGCTCCGCGTCGCCGGAGGAGCTGCGGGATCGAGGCCGGTCAGGGTGAGGGGAAGGCGGGAGAGCTGCGCTCGTCCGTGTTGCAGGAGGGCTGGAGCTGACCATGCCTGGCGTGTGAGGCGGGACCCTCATCCGGAAAGTAAGCGGGGCCAGGAGGAGCGGTGCTCTGCAGGGGGGGCTGGGGCCTCTCTGCTGGAAGGGAGGAAAGGTGACTTCTTTTGTTTCCGATATTTGAATAATTTATAATTGTGCAAAATTGAAAAAATTCTTCTTTAAAAGAAGATTTAGTCCTTAAAACGCTTGTCTGGTAAGTTCTTGTCAGGTGTCTACCCCCTGAATGTTGGACACTTGCATAGCTGTCAGTTGTGGGTGAGTTACCTTTATTTTCTGCATTTTTTTTTTCCCTATAGCGCAATGTCACTATTGTTTAGTCGTTCCAAGTCAATAGTTGCAGTGAAGAAGGATAAAAGACACATGGCTGAGGTAAATGCTTCTCCGCTTAAACATTTTGTCACTGCAAAGAAGAAAATCAATGGTATTTTTGAACAGCTGGCTGCATACATCAATGAGAGCTCCTCGTTCCTGGAAGGTAAGCTGAACTCTTCCACTACGAGTCTGTAATGGTCTTTTGCCCACACATAATTCCCCCAAGCACTCATCAAAAAACCCTTATTTGGTTAAATGGCTCTGCTAGACCTGATTTTGTTCTTATTTATAAAGACCTATCTCTTTATATGTCAATATTCATATGAAGGACAAAAAAAAATTTACTGACTGTGGATGAAGTGTTCAGAGTTATATTTTAAACCTGACATAAGTAGTTCATACCTGTTATGAAACTGAGCTAGATAGCGAGCTGCTTTTTTGTTGTTGTTTGGCAGCGTTGTTTTTTTTTGTTTGTTTTAATGAACTTTGCAAGGCTCATTTGGTTTTGTGCCTATAACCTTTACAGTGTTCTAGCCTGGACATGTCATTGCTAGTCATGTAGAATTTATGACAATAGTTGGCTCTACCAGCTTCACATGCAGAAGATTTTTTAAGAGTGCTGGCGTGTTTGAAGTGTTGGATGTATTCTGTTCAAGGCAGTCCTAAGGATAAGAATGGTTATTAGATACGTAAAAGAGACCAGCTGATGCAAAATTGCCTCAGGGTGTAATTGTATGGTTTAAGATTGCCCATGTGGTCTTTGGGACACATTAATATTTGGTTGTGTGTGTTACATTATGAGGAGATGTTTCATCCTATACTTAGATGACTTCTGGAATTCAGAGGCATGATATATTTTGATTTTAGAAACACACAAGAATGTTGAGCTTGATCCTGTCACCACAGAAGAGCAGGTACTGGAAGTCAAAGGCTATCTGTCAAAAGTCAGTGGCATTAGTGAAGTGCTGGCAAGGAGACACATGAAAGTGGCTTTTTTTGGAAGGTGAGTCACGTGCTTACATTGCCTACGCTCCCTACTTGGTAATGCAATTTGCATTTTTGGGATCGAAGCCAGTAAAAAATATTTATAGAAGCACTAGCGCTTCTGCATGCAACGTGTAGCAGATCTAGTACTTTGTGAATTGGACACCAATATTGTGGAACGTAATCTATTAGGAAGAATTTTTAAAATAAAAAACAGAAAAGTTTTTCTGTAAGTTGCCTATGGCACCTAAATTGTTATTTCTGGAACTGCTTTGGTTTAGAAAGATTGGTTTTTGTTACATCAAAATGAGTATACCTGAATCTTAGAAGCCCAGCTACACCATCCTGTGATCTCTCTCCAGGACAAGCAATGGAAAAAGCACGGTGATAAATGCTATGCTGTGGGACAAAGTCCTTCCTTCAGGAATTGGACACACCACTAATTGTTTTCTGCGTGTAGAAGGGACAGATGGACATGAGGCTTTCCTGCTTACTGAAGGCTCAGAGGAAAAGAAGAATGTTAAGGTACATTTCCCTTAAGCATAAAATAAAGGAGAAGAGCGCTGTCCCTATTTTAAGAGGTGCCAGAAAATGGAAAGAACAAGAAAATTAAATCACACTGAATACATTTTTCACAGTTAAGGATTTTAATTATTGAAGTAGCAGAGATTAGGAGCAGGATTTTTGATGTAGGAAGGGAGGAATGAAGGAAGCTATAAGACAGGGCTTGTACATTTTATGTGATAAATGACGTGCTGTAATTGTGAGTGATAACCGGGAGCTGAAATGATTCATGAAGTTCTGAGCTCAGTATAACTGACCAAGGTTACAGCCTTCCTGATAGTTCCTCAGCCCTTCTTAACAGGAAACTTTCTCATAAACTCTTATTAGATGGTTGTTTTTTGACTGGGCAGACTCAAACAAGTTGTATGTGGAAAAAATCCCAGGGAGAAAAAAGATACAATGATGGGTTTTATTGTTTTATCTTAAATTGTGAACAACCCTGAAGGAAGATAATTGTGTTAAAAAGTTTTAGCATCCGTTTTTTTTTTTTTTTCCTGTTTTGAGTAGACAGTGAATCAGCTGGCTCACGCCCTTCATCAAGATGAGCTTCTGAATGCTGGCAGTCTAGTCAGCGTAATGTGGCCCAATTCCAAATGTCCTCTCTTAAAGGATGATCTGGTGCTCATGGACAGGTGAGAATGTCTTTCTTTCCTTTCCTCTTTATCATAGATTTATTACATAGATGTATTCAAACATAAATTTAGCAAACATCAATGGAAGTGACCCTGTTCTCCTCTGTGACAGTGACCAAAGTCCTTTCCTGTAATTAACAGCCACAATTTCTCTTGATTAGTCTGCATCACCTCCGGACACTGTAGCTCAGACATGGGAAATGAATGCCCTGAATAGCTGGAGCACATTTCTTATGAACTTTTTAAATTATATGTTTAGTGTTTCTACAGCATAATAACATCTCTTCTCTTTTTACTGCTAGCCCTGGCATTGATGTAACCACAGAGCTGGACAGCTGGATTGACAAGTTCTGTCTAGATGCTGATGTGTTTGTCCTGGTGGCAAATTCAGAATCAACGTTGATGCAAACAGTATGTTCAAATCCACTTGCTAGTTTTAAGTGAATTTGTCTAAAAGTTTAAAAGCTTAGACATATTAATGTAAGTGTTTTTGTTCCTTTTTGCATAGGAGAAACAATTCTTTCACAAGGTGAACGAACGTCTGTCTCGACCCAATATATTTATTTTAAATAATCGCTGGGATGCATCTGCCTCTGAACCAGAATACATGGAAGAGGTTTGTGGTGTATTTAAATTCCTCCTAGCTGCATGGACATTATAGGGTCTGCAGTTCGGGTTTTTACTGCCATAGCTTGAAGACTAGAGGGAGTATAGCACAGCAGTCTGAACAAGACTCCTGAGATTTGTAAGAAGGAAATAAAGAACTTTCACTGGGGCGTTTTGATGTTAGATGACCTGGATAACTTCTGGAGGATTTTATAAACAGCAAGGGTTATTATTATTACTGTTTTACATTGGTAGCTTAGACCAGCAGAGGGCATCTGTGTACCTGATCTAACTTTGGAGGAGTATAAAGTGGGTTTAACTGCATGTAGAGTTTTTCCTGTTTATCCCTCAGGTACGTCGACAACACATGGAGCGGTGTACCAGTTTCCTGGTAGATGAGCTGGGCGTGGTGGATCGAGCACAGGCAGGGGATCGAATTTTCTTTGTGTCTGCAAAAGAAGTGCTGAATGCCAGGATTCAAAAGGCTCAAGGGATGCCAGAAGGAGGTAAAAATAGCTAACAGAGACTTTCAGTTTTCTTATAGGGAAGAAATGTAGAATTCCTTGTCCCAAAACAAGACAAAACTGCAGTGTGTCAAATTATTAAAAGAGCAGCCAAAAGCAAAGAGATGACTTAGCAACTCTTCTGCATTGGCTCCAAGGTTAGGCTGGAGTATTTACTGATGTCAAACATCTTACTGCTTTCTCAAAATGTAAGTGGTTGTTTTGTACTTTTCTTCTCTCAGGTGGAGCACTGGCAGATGGGTTTCAAGTGAGAATGTTTGAGTTTCAGAACTTTGAGAGAAGATTTGAGGTGAGTGTTACATGTGCTAACTTTCTGTTTAGGCTTTTTTCCTGAAAGGCTGGGGACTAGAGGTTATAAACATGAGAAGGAGAAATGGTGTTAGTCTTTTTCTGCCTGCTGCTAATCTCGACTGCCTCTTACATACAGGAATGTATCTCCCAGTCAGCAGTAAAGACAAAATTTGAGCAGCATACAGTGAGAGCAAAGCAGATTGCTGAAGATGTTCGTCTCATCATGGATTCTGTGCATATTGCCGCCCAGGAACAGCGGTGAGGAAATGCTGATGCTGGATACATGACTGAAGCTTGCATTCTGGGAGAAATTTAAGGGAATGTGAGCATTTAAAATACAAAGTGGAATGCAGAGGGTTTGAGAGCAGGAAGGATGTGAACTAGTAGTCTTGCTTCTCGTGAATTGTGAAAGTATGGAGAGAGGAAAATCCTTTTTGGCCTGTATGCCATGTATGTCTAATGTGTTATATATACTGGCATACTTTGTTCTTGGGCAGGAGAATGTCTTTTGTCTCTGGAATTCAAAAGGTATCCACAGATAAGAAATGCACTTACTTGGCTTTTTGACATGTCCTTCTTGCCATCAGAGTTTACTGTCTGGAAATGCGAGAGGAGCGACAGGAACGTTTAGGTTTTATTGACAAACAGCTGGAGCTCCTTACTCAAGACTACAAGCGGAAAATAAAACAGATCACAGAAGAAGTGGAGAGGCAGGTAAGGAGGAGTGACTGCTGAAGAGAAAAGATGGTCTGAACCAGCCACCAGTATGGTGGTAGAAATGCTCAGTGCTGACAAAGGTTTGAAGTAATAGGGATGTGAGAGTTACAGATGGGAAGAGAGAGAATACTTTCAGAAGAAGGGGATTTTTTTGTTTATTGTTTTGCTTTTTTTTCCTAGAGATAATAAAAGGAAAAGTATAATACGTGGGGACAACTTTCAGAGACACTCATAAGATGCTTTAAACAAACAGTGAGATTAATGTTTGAATTATTGCTATTACATTTTGGCATTGAATGCTTCCTAAAATGATAGAACATTCCAGACAAGTTTCCTTATTTCAGTCTTGAATAACAAGGTCAATTTTCTTGCCGTCAATAATAACACACCGTTTTAGCTCAATTATGAATATATAGAAAAAGCCTATTAATTTTTCACACATCCTATTTTGACTTTTTTTTCTGAATTGTTACACAAAGCATATTCTACGCCATCTTCTTTGCTAGTCATTGGTATTGCAGTTGGCAAACAATGGCAATGTGGTGCTTCAAAATCATAGTGTCATGTTAAAGAATGCTTTTTTCGAAGTGTATGCTTTAGCAGGGGTTTTCAGACTCTCCTTGGGGCACAACGTATAGTAACCATCCCATATGGCTGTTTCTGCAGGTATCAAATGCAATGGCAGAAGAAATCAGACGGCTTTCCGTGTTGGTAGATGAATACCAAGCAGATTTCCATCCATCTCAAGTAGTTCTGAAAGTTTACAAGAACGTAAGTGGTGGTTGGCTTAAGCAACCTTTAAGAAGCAGGCCTTTTTTTTTTTTTTTTTTAATACTCATCAGGCTCTGAGTCAGTACTTAGGCGAGCTCTTTGAAATGCTTAACATTCTTCCAACTGAGAAGAACTGAGCTTTTCATATTGTAAAATGTCATTTGTTCACATTTCTTTTGCACTTGGACAGTTTTCTGTTTTTTTAAGTTTAAAGAAGGAAATCTTTTGGTGTTTTTCTGCTTTTTTTTTTTGTTTGTTTGTTTTTTAAGCTAACTTAAGTGATAAGTGAATACATGTATGATGTATTGCATCGTATACATCAATTGATCCTTTCCGAGTCTGCAGAGTATGTGAGCTCTCATTGTTTGTTTTTTTTCTCCTTCACTAAAGAAAGAGGAAAAAAAACTGATGCTAGAGGACTGGACAGACAGAATGCATGCTCCTCTTTTGGGAGTTTTGTTGGTTTTTGTTTTTTTTTTTAACTGGTAAACTCTAGCACCTCTAACTTGCATCTTACCTATGTTTATTTAATCTCAATAACCTTTGTAACCCCTTTTGTGTTTGTCAGGAGCTACATAAACACATTGAGGAAGGTCTGGGCCGTAACATGTCAGATCGTTGCTCCAATGCAATCACAGCTTCTCTGCAGACAATGCAACAAGAAATGATAGGTCAGTTCTGCAGGAAATGTTTCCCTTTCTTTTTTCTTTAACTGTAATACACAATAATTAGGTAGATGTTCTGGTTTTCTTTTTACTCTGATGGCTGATGTGCAGCAGCATTGTCTTAGTTTCCAATGTGATTAGTAACAGTTATATTTAGAGGACTAGGTATTCCTGCTTTTCCCACAGTGTGCCTGAACTTGTTCAGTGATTATATTAATTACTAAAGCAATCAGCTTAATCCATTGTGACTGAGAGAGCAACACTTCAGGAACTGGCCTTCAGATTCTGTTTTCCAAGCTATTGCTAAACTGTAAACTGCAGTTACTTGTAAGGATTTGGGAGCATCCATGGAAGGACTTCTGAGTTGATCTAAAGAACTAAGAATTGAATGATACTTTGTGATGTGGCTCTTGCTTTGCAACATGCTTGGCTTCCGGAAATTTAAATACTAACAAAAATAACTGCAGAGGATTGAATAACCAATAAGCACTCTGATTATGGAATGCAAGTCCTTTTAATTACTGTGAACTCAATCACCCATTTATTGTATGTGTTTATATTCTGTTCTCGCAGATGGCTTAAAACCCCTTCTCCCAGTCTCTTTGCGTGGCCAGATAGACATGTTAATTCCTCGACAGTGCTTCACGCTCAGCTACGATCTGAACTGTGATAAACTTTGTGCTGACTTCCAAGAAGACATAGAATTCCATTTCTCTCTTGGGTGGACGATGCTGGTGAACAGATTTTTGGGACCAAAGAATGGTCGTCGGGCCTTGATGGGCTATAATGACCAGGTGAGATACCTTGTTGGGTGGTCAGAGGTAGTTGTGACATTCGTAACTCCAGTGGTTTGTTGTTGCTGCCTTTCTAGTGGGAAGGGCAGTGTCTTGCATTCTTTTTTCCTGTACTTTGCTTTTATTTTTTAATTTTGTTTTTGTCCCTGCTTTTCAAATTAGGTTCAGCGCCCTTTGACACCAGCAAATCCTAGCCTGCCTCCTTTGCCTCAGGGTTCTATGACCCAGGAAGAGCTCATGGTGTCAATGGTCACTGGACTGGCCTCGTTAACTTCCCGAACTTCCATGGGGATCATCGTGGTTGGTGGAGTGGTGGGTTGACAGTCTGAGAAGCGTTTATATAAATAACCTTGGCACTGACTTGAAAAGTAGTTGCACTTCTGAGTCTTGTAGATATTCCCAGTTCACAGATAATTAAATACTTTATCTTCCATTTGAGTGCAAATATTGAGCTTTTTTGCATATTAGTTCTGTTGGGAGTCATAGTTGTGAAGATAAAAAGCTTTCCAAGTATGTTATAAAAAATGAAAATTATAAAAATTAAATAATCTTTGATATTCCTGTGAGAATAAAGGAAGAAATAGTATTTTTCCCATTGACAGAGGAATGGGAACAGGGGTTAAAGTTGAGGGGGAGGGAGAATGTTTTGTATCCAGAGTATCTAGGGATAAACAATTCCTCAAAGGGAAAATGGTTTCCTAAAAATGTCTTTTTCTTCAGAAACAAGGATCTGTGAAATAGGCAAAGATCATTTGCATGTGTAATTGCAATTTAAATGTCCTGGAAAAGTTAACCCATTGGTATTCTTATGTTGTAGATAGGAAATCAGTAGTAAGCTATCTGACCAATGAAACTACTTGCAAGTCAGGGTTGTCTCTGGAGGTTTCTGGCTTATTTTCATGCGTCTAAAATACAAGTGCAGTGTTCTGCGCACCATTGTTAGGAGGCAGCACCATTCCTAGATGATGATTGTGTTACTTGCTTTTCCCTGTGCTTATTTTAGGTCTGGAAGGCTGTGGGTTGGAGACTGATTGCTCTCTCTTTTGGCCTTTATGGGCTTCTTTATGTATATGAGCGTCTCACCTGGACTACAAAAGCAAAGGAGAGAGCTTTCAAACGGCAGTTTGTGGAGTATGCTGGAGAGAAATTGCAGCTCATTGTCAGCTATACAGGTTCTAATTGCAGCCACCAAGTCCAACAGTGAGTTCCCTATATTCACCTAACTAAATTCTGTTGCATTTTTGTTGGTTTGTTTGTTTGTTTTTGTAGGATGATATTCCTTGTTAAAGTAAGATAAGTCTGTATATTGAACTCAATCTAAAAATGTATGACGTGTTCTAAAAGAACATTATGGGGTGTGGTTTTTTTTTTTAATAACCTGAGGTATTATGTGGGTGCAATATTAACCTTTAGTCTTAATGTACTTCAGTCTCTCAAATGTTAGGGCTCTGACTAACGTATTCTTGTGCAAAAGCGGAAAGATGTTTTCATCTGAGTCAGTATCATTACGGTCCATCAGAGGGGCTTATTCCTTGAATTCAGTGCTTGATCTTACTTTTCACTGTCCAACTATTTCTGTTTCACAGAGAGCTTGCTGGAACATTTGCTCATTTATGTCAGCAAGTGGATGTCACACGGGAGAATCTTGAGCAGGAAATTTCTGCTCTGAATAAAAAAATTGAAGTTTTGGATTCACTGCAGAGCAAAGCAAAACTGCTCAGGTGAGATATTCTTATTACATGTATACAGGCATCTGCATACAGCTGATCTTCCCGTGATTGTCCCATGATGTTCAGATTAGGACGTGTCTCTGAGCATAGTTCTTCTGTCATAGGTTTTGATGTGCAGATATCAACATCTTTCCATAACAAGTTGTGTTCCCTTTTAGTATTATATTTTAAAAAATTGCTACAATATATTAAAATGTCTGGCAAAGATATCAAAACAATATTCTGCAGCCTCTAAATAGAAAGTCACTTAGATTCTTTGGTGAGAGTGGATATTCTTGAGGTATTGGTGAGCAGTGCTTTTTGTTTTACCTGATAGAAGAAGGAAAGATGCTAAGCTCAGGTACTGTCAACAGTCATTTAAATCTTTTATCTCATAAAAACACCTTTTCCTTCTTTCGTCTGGTTTGTGTGGAAGTAAAATTCCTTTCTGTTTACCAGACCATACAGCCCTCTACTTCTACAAACTCTTCAGGTTATGAAAATCATGTAAAGTCTCTCCCTCGCCATTGTACACAATTGAGTCTGACGTTTGACTTCACCCTGCAAAAGCTGTTGGGAAGAATTTTTCAACCATACCATACCTACACAAATATTAAGATCAATTTGAAGTTGTGGCCAAGATCTTGCTATGAACCTCAAAACTGGGGATTATTAGCTGGCTAGTGTTCCTGACCTGAAGGAGATGAGCAATGCTAGTAGCATTTTAGAATGGACCTCCTTGGCACTCCTCTCCACCCCTTACTGTTGACTAATCTTAGTCATGCTTCTTTCAGATTGGCTTGAGAAGAACTTTACTTGCCTAATAGAGATTTTTTGTCTTCACAGGAATAAAGCGGGTTGGCTTGACAGTGAACTTAACATGTTCACACATCAGTACTTGCAGCAAAGCAGATAGTGTGGGAAGAAGAGGAAAAACAACACCATTTCTTCCCTTCAGTGCTCTTTCAGTTACTGCAGAGAACATGGTGGGTGATGGAATCCCTAAAGGGAGTGAGCAGAAGTCTATCGCTGTGTTTCCAGTTGCTGTGTGAACAGTAGGATTCTGCATCCTTGTTTTGTGTCCCACCTCTAAACACTAGCTATTTATAACTCCCTTTTCCTGCTTGGGAGACCAGGCTACTTCAGAAGCAATGTGTGCTTCATACATTTACAGGGGGCTGCTAAAATCAAAATGAGGTTCAGTAACAGTCAAGTTTAAAAGCAAATGTTTATCAGGTTAAATGTTATTCTAACACATCTTTCTTTATGGAGTCGTTCATTTTATTACACTAAGACAGAGCTTTTGACTTCAAAGCCCCAAGTTTATGTATGTGACAAGCAGCTGTTTTTCTAAACAGTGATCTCATGCACACAAGTAATAGCAATTTCACAATACTTTTATAGCCCCTGGAAGCCTATCTCCTAGGTAAACCTTCCGTTATTGTAGAACATGGCAAAGAACCGCTGCACTGTTTCTCTTCATAGAAAGGTTTATTGCTGTCAGCATGTTTAAACCTGTGAACAAAACCTAGTTCTCTTCCAGAGCAAGACTGACCAAGATTTTGTTTTGGTACGTTTATTGTCTTTGGAGTTACTTTCTTCCTCTTCAAAGCTATTTAATAATGCAGTCTGACCCATTTCACATCATACGTAAATAGTTTGCAACGTCATAGCTAGCTCCTGGGAAGGAGTTAGTGTTGATAATTTGGCATCTTGTTGAGGAAGAAAATTAGGAATGAAAAAATGAGCCACTTGACAGAATGTAAATAACTGCTTTATGAGATAAGTTGATGAATGTGGGGGGTTTTTGGCATTGCACAGCTGTGTTTCTGGAAGCAGGCCTTTGGAATTCCATTAGCATTATTTGGCCACGAGGGCAGCATGGGGATTACAAGCTGTAAGAGATTATGCTTCATGTAGAGTTCCCATATGATGTTACAGTCCTTGCAGTAATATGATTTGTTGTTTCTCTTCTGTTAAAAGTCTGAAGGTGGGAGACCTGTCCTTCCTATTTAATGCCAGGGTAAGAATGGGTTAAGTTTTTTAAGACATTTTTTATTTGCAAACGGATCAAATTGATTATTGAGTTCTGCCCTGAAGCAAATTAATTTTGAGTATAAAATTTGAGAATTATAAGGACTTGATTCTCTTTGTGTTGAAATTGGTAGAGGAGACATTCCCACTGATTTCACTAGTACCAAGATCAGGCTCCTATGTTGCAAAGCTTCTTCTCCACTTGGTGGATCTGTATTTTACCATGTATTGGGTATGACCTGTATATTCCCCACAAAATGTCCCTCAGGAATCCAGAATCAGATCCTGTAATTAATTCTGAGGTTAGGGTCAACCAAAATCCGTTCAGTATCAAACATTTAGAGAATATGAATTATCTGTGAGCAGGTCACGGCTCAATTCAGAACTATTAAGGTATGTTTTGTTGTCGTTGCTGTATTGAGAGTAAGACTTTTCAATTGAAAATGTTATCAGCTAGCCTTAGGACTTCTCATTTATGCTCAGGTGTGAATGTATGTGCCTGTGACAAGTACACCGCTTCGTGTGAAGGTCCAGAGAAGAAGCTGCCTGATACTAGAGGGAGAAAAAATAGCAGAGTGTCAGTAAGTACTTCAGGCTGTTTAAAGATTAGCAGTAAGACTCGAAGTATCTTGGTTATGTAGCAGCTGGCAGTGAGACTCTGGTTAGGTCCCTGGAATGCAGACGGCAAACAAACATTTCACTTCCTGGGGACAGCTTTGAATGCAACCCAAACTGAAAAGCTGTTTTCATCAGAGGGCTCCTTATTGGCCTTGTTCAGTTTCCTCGGGCAGCTGCCAGTACACAAATATCAGAACTGAGAATGGGGAAGAGAAATTTGAGTCTTTGCCATTGGAAATGTGTTCTCTAGGCTTGAGGTGATGTATGCCAGAGTAAGTGGAATCATCCACGGTTATTCTGCTGTAGGTATTAGGTGAATAAATTCAGATCTTTAGTCTCCTAAGCTATTATGTATGCATTTCTAATAGGCAATGTATCATGCTTTTGAGTGAAAACATTAAGCAGATCTCGGATACAACAGGAAATTGTCAATTTGAGGTAGAGGGTAGAACTACTCAGCAGCTCTAGACTACCTGAAGTGCTGATCTTGCCTTTGAAGACGTGCTGCTACTATCTCTACAGCAGGCCTTTAGAGGAAATCTGATAAGTGATCTGATCTTCAAAGCCAGGGTCAGATTTGTAAACGGAAAGAGATTGATGGGTTCTTAGAATCTGGTGTCCTGCCCATGTGTGCGTTTCTGACACTGTTCGGATTTTGGTGATGTAGGCATTCTCACTGCAGGGGTGAAACCTAACCTATAGAACGGGGAAAGAACCACTTGAATTTTTTAAGAAGCAAAACTGCTAACAGGGGAGGGAAGTATTTTTTAAGTATGTGCATAACCCTTGACACTAGAAGCTGAGTGATCAAGAATCAAACTTTTAACAGAAAGACCTATGAGTTAGTTTCCTCTTAAACAAAATACAGCTGTACTTCTTTAATTCAGGTTGGTGGACGAAAGAACACTATTAGCAAGGAGATTATCTTCTGCTTGTCATAAGGAATGATAAACTAATCTTTAGAAGAGGTAATTCCAAAAGCACTCTTCCCCCAAGCTCTTATTAAAGAACGTCAGCTAAATGCACTTTATCTTATTGCTGCTACTTATCTTCTGATTGTGTTATGTTGATGGAGCTCTTGGAAAATACTCTTACCAGTGAGTTTTCTCTTTGCTGTATTTAAGGTGATAAATTTGCATGAATTATTCCTGTATCAATGCTGTAAGCAATGGAAACCAAAATAAAAATGAATTGGAAAAATATTTCTTATGCTGTGTTCTGCATAACTTGATACAAAGTCTTCAAGTGTAAGTATGATATGTTCTGATGATGATGTGTTACTGTGTTGTAGTAAATTGTGTGTTCAATAGTGGCCTTTTATCTGCATTCATACTGTGAGAAGTTGAGAGGGATGGTACTGAAAGAACTGACAGAAAGCTTGTGAGATCCCTAAGTTATATAAAAATGTCAAAACTGAATCTTAAGTCCTTGAGAATATCATAGGATGTAATGGCCAGCAACTACTGCATTAACAGAGTGAAAGGGCGGTGCTGAGTGAGTACTCTCAGCTGCCAGGTTGTGCTAAGACTGAAAAAGCCACTTCCAGTGCTAGGCTTTGCCTCCTAGCTTCCCTGGGACTTGGAATAGTTGGGCTGCCCAGGCACGGAGCCGTGAATCCGAGAATCCGAGAGGAGCAGGGCTGGGGCTGCCTCCCCGTGCCCAGGGAGCTCCCTCAGCGCCTTCTCCGGGGCCGGGGCGGGGCCGAGCTCTCCGCGCATGCCGGGAGCTGAGGCGCGGGCCCGGCCCCGTGTGGCGGCCGCGGGGCTGCGGGAACGGCCGGGCCGGGGCTGCCCGGGGGAAGCCCGGAGGCGGCTGGAGCCGGGCCCGGGGATCCCCCGGCCGCGGGATCGCCCCCGAGAGGCGGCACAGGTGGGCCCCGAAACGCGGAGCTGGTTGTGGGGGGGGAGCAGGGAGAGGTGACCGGCCCTTCTTCGGTGCCCGCCTCGCCTCTGGGAGGCGGGAGGGGAGTTTGTAACGCCCGGGGCTGCCTCTCCTTCTCCTTGTGGGTCTGGGAGAGCCGAGCCTGCTCCGGAGCTGGCCTGGGAAGCTCTGCAGAGGTGTTGGACGTCTCCGAGATGCGGCTACTTAGTTCCCGAGGGATCTGTTGGTGTTTTACCTAGACAAACTGAGCTCCCATTCGCAAAGGAATCTCGCTCAGGCAATTTCATAAGCTCGAGCCCTCGGGGTAGAGCATAAAAAGCGAACGAGAGCTTCTTGTCGATTATGCTAAGAGTGGATCTCATCTGGTAAAACCCTCCCAGAAAGTCCCTTGACTAATGTTAATTTCTGAGTATTCGATTTCTGGTGAGCAATGGTGAGAGGGTGCCATTAGCTTTGCCCTGTCAGTGCTGTGAGAACTGTTCTGTTTAAATGCTCTCAAATAAATTCAGTGCCTCAAGACTGATATTTCTATTTTATGGCCAGTTGTGCACCTTTCTTGTAACTAAGAGATGTGTTGTGGGTGGGTTTGGTTGGTAGCACTGCTCGTTGCTCCTCCCAGCGCTGGTGTACGGTAGATGCTTTTGATTCCTTATGCTCAGTTGCCAAGGTAGCAGACGCAAAAACAAATCAGACAAGCTTTTAGAGGACTTAGGGATCCTTTGGTCGTAGAGAAGGTCATAGAGAGACACGTGGTTCTAATTTAGAACATAATTGATTATGTTAGACAAAGACCCTGTCTCTTTTCTTTTTTTAATAAGAGACTTTCTGCAAATTTAGAGGACTTTATGACGTTGTAAACATCTTGAACAGCATGACGGAACAACCAAAATAAGTTCTATTTGTTTTGTTTTAAAGTCATTTTTTTACCTCTCTTCCAATAAAAGGGCAATAACCCTTAGTGATTAGTGTGTGGGACTGGAATTGTCAGAGCCCCAGTACGGTGTCATCACTGAGCCTTTTGAAGTCTTCCTGCCTGGGGAGTGTGGAAAACACTTGATTTAATATTTCTTTTGGCTGTAGTAAATAAATTCATATTTGCTATTCATATGGTGAAGTTGTTGTGATTGATACTAACTGCACATTCATATGAATTTTGATGCTTAAGAAGATGATGAAAGGAGATTTATATATGGTTGTCCTAAATATCAGCCTCTGAATCAGATATCTCTCATTTGGCTTTTTGAAGTGACTTTTTCATGTTTACTGTTTCCCCCGTAAGAATTTCCTGCCTCTATTCAGTCAGCTACTGGTTTCTGGGTAGAAAACACTTGACATTACACGCAAGGGTTGGAGAGGTATGCAGTGATGCTTGTTCCTAGCGTAAAGAGTTTTGAGACTTATCTTTGAACGTTGGCTGATTTCTCAGGAGCAAACTCCTAGTATTCCAACACCTGTAAGGGATTTTTATGAAACGTCTTCTAAAAGCACAATTACCCGTTGATTTTTTTTTTCCTGTACCTGGTTCTTTACTTAATGCTTCCATTCATGTGGTTCACCCTTCTCTGGCTTTGCAGGAAAACACATCCATAGGATGGAGTTAGAGCACCTGAGTAGGCTGCGTCAGGCCAACAAAGACCTTCTACAAAAGCTAAGAATGAAGCAGGAAGAGATGAGAAAACGTCTTCCCAGCAAGCCACTTATTCCAGCATCTCTTCATAACGTAGCAACTACAGAAGGATCTGTCCCCTTGCCCAAGAGAGAAGTATGTGCTGGGTCTGTGCTAAAAGTGCTGGGAAGCAAATGGGCCTTGTTTGGTAGGCAGTAGCTCTGCTTATAGAGCAGTGTGAACATGGAACAGCTGGTAGAACGTGGAATATAGAGCTCATTGGAAAAGTAGCTAGACTTCTGGGTTTTGTTTATCCTGTGGTCTCAAATATGTTCTTGTTGCAGTCTTCAAAGATCAGCTGCCGCCTAATAAGTGTAGGTTTCTTAATGTAAGATAGGAAGGATTATCATGAGACATAATCCTTTAGTTTCTTCTAAGCATAAAGCCTGAAAGTTTAGTAGCTTCTCAGCTTGGGAAGAAGCTGCATTTAGCTGTAAGCCAGCTGTAAACAATCCTTTTCTTTTCTTCTTCAAACACTTGATAGATGTCTCATGAATGATATTCAGACTTCAAGTTTTTCCCCTTGGGTATTTAAAGGGATGAACAGGCTGGATTGAGAAGCTGATTTTTCTTGTTGAGTACACTGTGCTCATAAAAAAGTGTTTGTAATCTGATGCCATGTGATGTTCTTACAGAAGGAAAATCAAGTTGATGCTGTGTCTACTCAACATGATCCTGCAACGTTGGTGTCTGTGGAACCCAGAGCTTATGCAGCCAGAGCAGCCCTCTGTTCTTCACTCAAATGCAGCAGCAATGACAGAGCGGTGCAGCAACAAATGAAGGTGCAGGAATTAGTAAGTTTGGATTCCAGCTTTCCTGATAAAGAGAAGAATGTTATGCCTGTGTCCACAATTACTGCATGTGGTAGAGAAACCTGCAGAGTGGATAGGTATGGCCACGATCAAGAAAGTGCAGAGAACGAAACTTTGCTTCTGGGACATGGAGAGAACAAAAACCAGTCCGCTCTTCCACATGGTCTCAATGAGAAAAAACAACCGAAGGCTCACTTGGACCTACCACTGAACAATAAACAAAGTGAAGAGACCAGCAAGGGGCCCATAACCCCTAAATCAGTCCTGCTGACATCTCAGTCCAAAGAGTGGAAGGTAAATGGTGAAACCAATGCTTGCTCCTTTTCATAAGTCAGTAGAAGGATGTGGGGAAGGGTCGGGAGAATACTGCTTACTCTGAGCAGATTACTAGTAGAGCTATAGATCTAGCTGTAAACTAAACCACAGTTGTCCCGTGTAAATACCTCCCAGTTATCTCCCAAGCTGTGCCTTTGAATGTCCTGCTAGATGTGTAAGAGGTCTTTATGAATTGTTTTTCTTCCCAGAAGGAAGCTGCTCATGTGACTTTTCAGTCTGAGCCTGAAGAATATGCCCTGCCTGTGAGTAGCTGGTCTGTGCGTCCATTCCTGGGCTATGACTGGATTGCAGGTGAATCTTAAACCTGAAGCAAAGCACTTGGCATGATGTGTAATATCGAGAGTTAAAACGCAGGTTATCCTTCCTTTAAGTTTTGGTGTGACATAGCTACAGACATAAAGCCCATGGAGCCAGTCTCAGCAGAGGAGCTGTGGTTTGGTCAGTAGCTGTTGCTGCACTGTGACAGACGTGATATCTGCTTCCCTAGAATGGTGAAGTGGCAATGGTATGAGAATCCAGGCAGCAAATGACAAAGCTCAGTGGGGTCAGAGGAGACAGCAAGTAACCAAAATGAGTGAACGTAACAAGGAACCCAAATCACACCAGAAATGTCTGACGTGACATGACGGGGTGCTCTTCTCATTATCCACTTCAGTGCTCCAGACCTTTGGCTGGCTTGATCATTTTGCTCAGTGCTTGCTTTGGTGCTTTCTCAAAATCAGTAAAGCCTTGAACTTTTTTCTTTCCTTCACATTCTCAGGGCTCCTAGATACAGACTCTTCAGTAGCAGAAAAATCTGATCAATATTTTGCTGAGCTGCATGAGTTCCGACAGGCCAACAAAGAAGCATGTATCCACGAGCAGCCCCTGGAGTAAGTGGGTACAAGTAGAAGGGCTGAAGCGGCTATGTATCCCTTTAGAGTAATGAGAAGTATGGTCTAACTGCAGTGGGAAGTTGTAAGGGTGGCTCATCAGGCCTCTACCTCCCATCCAGGAATGTATGCTTGGAAAGGGTGGGGGCTGTTCAGAGGGCCTACACCCCTGTCACTAACTGATGTGTTTGTGTGTTTCTTTAGGCCCAAGGCTCTGGATTGCATAATTCCTGAACAAGAACAAGATTTGATAACCAGTTCCCATAAGTGTAAGATCAGATTTCTCCTAAGTGTAAGATCGGGTTTCTTCCTAATCCAATTTCTTTGAACAAACAACTAAGCATTCTTTACCTGTTGCTCTGAGTAAGCCCCACATCATGTGAGACAAGGAAAAATGTGTTGTTTTTCACTGTAATTTCTAATCCAGACTTGACTTCCTCCTCTGAAGAGACTTCTAAGCATCCTCTCTCAATCAGTGTCATCTTATTTTGTCAGGGTTTATTGTAATTGACTACAGTTCTATTTTTTGTTTGAGGGGGTTGAGTTTTGGTTTTGCTTTTTAGGAACTTACTTGGGGGACAGGAAATGTAAATGGTATTTTAGGAAAAGCAGCTCTGTTTCTATAGCATGCACGT